CATCGATTAAAATGATCGTTCTAAAATTTTTGGTTTGGGGTAAAGATGCATCCTCGGTATTGTGGGCGAGGTCAGGGGTCGGATGAAATTTACTAGGACATTTCAAGTGTTTTTACAAAGTCCTTTCAAGTGATTGATGAGTATGTTCAAAGTATTTTCATCGCTCTTTCTAGGTAATTGGGACGTTTTTTAACAATCTTCATCAGGTAACAAGAAGAAAGTATCATCTAAAAGCGGCTAGCTGGCAAATACCTCAAAAAATGGCTTGTAAAATTTTTTCGGGTCATATAACTACCATGTAAATACGTTGTAAAACCTTTTAAAAAACAGTGTAAAACCTTATAAATACCTTGTAAAAAACCTTTAAAATACCTTGTAAATTTTTGGCGGGAAAATTTTTCCCGCCAAAAATTTAACGCCAAAAAAATTGCGGAATCACTTTTCCCGCAAAAAAAATTTTTTGGCGGGAAAAAATTTTACGGGAAAATTTTACAAGGTATTTTAAAGGTTTTACAAAATTTTACAAGTGTTTTGGCGGGAAAAATTGGGGGATCACTTTTCCCGCCAAAAAATGTTTTGTATTTTGTGGACCTAATTTTGTTATATTTTCTTATATATTTATGATATCTTTTATTAAAAGAAGGGTAATTTAGTCATTTTGTACATAAAAGGGGTATTTTTAAAAATAGACATCCAAAGGGGGCATTTTTGAAAAGGGGTATTGAAAAAGGGGCATTTTTGTGAGTCTCCCTAAATCATAACTGTGCATTCCAAATATTAAAGCCAAATCTTATTATATAAAATATGGTTTTCAAATTTTGACACGTGTAGATAAAAATTTTCCTTTTATTTATTTTTTAAAATATTATAAGAAAACTATACATATATATCTTATATCAAACAAATCTAAAAATCTAAAAATTTAAAGAAGATAATTATAAAGAAACTATATACATATTTTTAAAAATATTAAAAAGATAATATAAGAAAAATATACGTATATCTTATTATCTAAAAATACAAATTATAAAATTATTTACTAATTCTAATTTAAGTACTAATTCTAAAAGATATATATTATTTTCTTAAAAATAATGAGAAAAAAGTATTTAGGAAAATACTAATTAAAAATAATTGATAAAACACGATAATTAAGAAACTTATACAAATAATTATTAATCTTAAAAGAAAAATTATACTCATTTCTAAACAAACAAAATAGTTTCTTCAAAAACACCACCACTGCTCCTATTTATTTAGTACTTTTTTTATAAATACATCATCAATTATTGATGTGTGATATATTTTAATGAAATTTCTTAAAATACCACGCTTTCAAGTTTTTTTTTTGTTGCCAAAAATACTACTATTAGTATAATGTTCGAAAAATACCATAAAATTTTTTTGGTTTTCCACTATTAAATTTGTAAAGAAATGTAAATAAAACAATTGTTTGATATGTGGTTTATATGTGAAATATTTCATGAAGAAGTTGTGGAATCATATTTTACGCAAAAGTCTAGAGAATATTTTCTAACAATTTAAAACCCTGAAACCCTAATTCTTCTCCAGATCAGGCTTAAACTATCTAAAAAAAGTTACCAAAGAAAAAACAAAATAGAGGATGAAACAAAACGAAGAAGAGAGTACGAGACAACAGAGAAAACACGAGAAACAGAGAGGAAAGAGCAGAGTAGAAACAGAGTTCGACGCAGAAAAACATAAAGAATTGAGAAGAGAAGACGATACCTCATCAACAAATATGTTATTGCGGCCACCTTGAGATTCTTCTCGTGATCTCTTCATGGAAATACCTATCTATTTTCTCTTTGTTGCTTTAGCTTTTCTTTACCACTGCATATTCAGATTTGCCTCGTAAAGAATATATATAGCACGTTTTTTTGGGTTACCTAGATCAACGAACCCACATTAAACAAAATATGGGCCTTACGTTTTATCTAGCCCATAATAAATGGGCTTTTCTTTTCTAAAATAATAAAAAAACTAAGATTAATCCTAACTGTTCATGATGCTTAATTAAGCTCAGCTATGGCTTCTTCTTCTTCGACGCCTCAATGTTTCGTGTATAAACCTATCTAGTCTACCATGGCGGCAAAATCCCAGAAAACCCTCATTCTACTAGCAAATCTAATCAAGGTTCCTCCATTAAAAGCTTTCTCTCTCTTAAATTCTCCAAATTTCCATGGATTTCAACACACACACGAATCCATATCAATCCTTCTTCGTCTCCTTCTCTCTGGAAACTTATACTCTCACGCTCAATCACTTCTCCTTCAAGTAATCTCCGGAAAAATCCAATCCCAATTCTTCACATCTTCCTCTCTGCTACACTATTTGACAGAATCAGAAACGTCAAAAACCAAGTCTCGTCTCTACGAAGTAATCATCAATGCCTATGTTCAATCTCAATCCCTAGATTCATCAATCTATTACTTCAACGAAATGGTCGATAAGGGTTTTGTTCCTGGATCGAATTGCTTCAACAATCTCTTAACTTTCGTTGTTGGGTCTTCTTCTTTCAATCAATGGTGGTGTTTCTTCAACGAGAGCAAAATCAAAGTTGTTTTGGATGTGTATAGCTTTGGGATTGTGATCAAAGGTTGTTGTGAAGCTGGTGAGATTGAGAAAAGTTTTGATCTTCTTGTTGAATTAAGAGAGTTTGGGTTTTCTCCAAACGTTGTTATCTACACTACTTTGATTGATGGGTGTTGCAAGAAAGGTGAGATTGAGAAGGCGAAAGATTTGTTTTTTGAGATGGGGAAGTTCGGATTAGTGGCTAATGAGTGGACTTACACGGTTTTGATTCATGGGTTATTCAAAAATGGGATTAAGAAACAAGGGTTTGAGATGTACGAGAAGATGCAGGAACATGGTGTTTTCCCTAATCTCCATACTTATAACTGTGTGATGAATCAGCTTTGCAAAGATGGAAGAACAAAAGATGCGTTTAAAGTGTTCGACGAAATGCGTGAGAGAGGGGTTTCGTGTAATATTGTTACTTATAATACTTTGATTGGTGGGTTATGTAGAGAGATGAAGGCGAATGAGGCAAATGAGGTTATGGATCAGATGAAGAGTGATGGAATCAACCCGAATCTGATTACGTATAACACTTTGATTGATGGGTTTTGTGGTGTGAGAAAATTGGGGAAGGCGTTGAGTTTATGCAGAGATTTGAAGTCAAGAGGTCTGTCTCCGTCTCTTGTCACGTATAATATTCTAGTTTCCGGGTTCTGTAAGAAAGGGGATACTTCAGGAGCAGGTAAGGTGGTTAAGGAGATGGAAGAGAGAGGGATTAAACCGTCGAAAGTAACATACACGATACTTATCGACACGTTTGCTCGTTCGGATAACATGGAGAAAGCAATTCAGCTTCGATCATCAATGGAGGAACTAGGATTAACCCCGGATGTTCATACCTATAGCGTATTGATTCACGGGTTTTGCATCAAAGGTCGAATGAATGAAGCATCGAGGCTTTTTAAGTCGATGGTCGAAAAGAAGTTTGAACCAAACGAGGTGATATACAATACAATGGTTCTCGGGTATTGCAAGGAAGGTAGTTCTTATAGAGCATTGAGGTTGTTCAGGGAGATGGAAGAGAAAGAGTTGCCTCCAAATGTTGCTAGCTATAGGTATATGATTGAAGTTCTTTGTAAAGAACGAAAATCGAAAGAAGCTGAGGGTTTGGTTGAGAAGATGATTGATTCAGGGATTGGTCCATCTGATTCAATCCTTAATTTGATCTCTAGAGCTAAAAATGATTCACATGTAAGCTCAAAATAATGATTAGAGCAGTTTGAATCTGAACGTAGCAAATAACTTATCATTAGTCTAGATCCATGGACGAGGAGGAGCCAGCTTCCATGGTGTTTGATGGTTTGATGGTTTGTGAGCTCTGAGTACAACGGTTACGGTTAGTATATTTTTTAACCGTAACTAATCTATTTTTAGACCGCCGAGTCTTAAGATTTCCAATTTCGGATCCAATAATCTTCTGAGTTCTGACTATAGCAATGCTATCGACATCCTTACCAACTCGAGCCTTGCAAAAGTCCTTGTAGCTAATGTAGAAAATTGCGTCATAGGCGTCAAGTCCCTTATTTAAAGGCTCCACCAGGCTTGGTGGAATTTCCATAGCTACTTTCAGAATCTTCAAACTGGTTAGACCATGTTTGGTATGGTTCCTGAAAGATGTGGCAACAGCAAGCTCCAAATAGAGAAGAATCCATTCATTGTCTTCAATCTCTGATTTGTTCAGCACGTCAAATCGGCCATTGAAAGGATCCTCTAGGGGTAGTAAGTCAGGCTTGAATAGTTGGTGGAACTTTTTATCCAACACCATACATGACTCGTTGTCACCAGGAAATGTGATATTTAACAGTGGACATGGTGTAAAGCAAACCACGGTTGACATAAAAATCCTAAGTAAGACACGTTTGTTTGTTTGTTATTAGCAAAAATATTAAGAAGAAGCGATTGAGAGAATCAAATTACCAAGTCATAGGAAAATGAAAGAATATATATCCTTACATCGTGTACAATAATTTTCTCCATATCCTCGGACCTGTCACGCTCATTTTTCTCCATTTCCTCTTCTGATCACAACAACAACGGCTGCACCATCTTCTCTTCGGCTGCTTGATGCATGGATGCTTTCTTTTTCTCGGTCAATTTATATACCTCGTCTGAGCTTTCATTGTGCCCATTTATATAAACTCTTCATAGCTTAGGGAAGGTTCTACGGGTTTGTCCAAAAAAAAAAAAAAAAAAAAAAAAAAGGGAAGGTTCTACGGGTATACTTTTTCTTTTGAATGTCTGCCAAAAAAATTTGATGATTCAATTATTTTAGAATCATAATGCAGTTTGGTATAACTGATTTAGTGTTGCGGGCTGCAATACGGGCTCGGTGTCATTATGTTAATATAAAATGGCTAATTTTTTCTAATTTGGGTTTAGGGTTTAGGGTTTAGGTGAAGTATTTTTTTATAATGGTAAAAACATTTGTAAGTGAAAAAAAAAACAAAGAATGGATGAATTATAGTCAAGAGATGCGATGGTCCAAAACAATTTCTAAAAAAGTGCTAAAACCTGTGTTTTTAAGAAAATTCTATAAAGCTTTTGTTAATTCATAATTACAAATAAATCAATCTTTAACTAATATATGTTTACTAAGTTTTTTTTATAAATACTTGCAAATTTTTGGTTATTAAAATTTGGACTAAAGAACAATTCAGCTTTGATTATCAATGGAGGAACTATGATTAGTCCTTGATGCTCTTACCTATAGTGTATTGATTCACGGGTTTTGCATCAAAGGTCAAATGAATGAAGCATCAAGGCTTTTTAAGTCGATGGTCGAAAAGAAGTTAAAACCGAACGAAGTGATATACAATACAATGATTCTCGAGTATTGCAAGGAAGGTAGTTCTTATAGAGCATTGAGGTTCCTGAGGGAGATGGAAGGGAAAAAGTTGGCTCCAAATGTTGCTAGCTATAGATATTTGATTGAAGTTCTTTGTAAAGAAGAAAACCGAAAGAAGCTGATTTGGTTGAGAAGATGATTGATTCAGGGAGATCCATCTGATTCAATCCTTAATTTGATCTCTAGAGCCAAAAATGATTCACAAGTAAGCTCAAATTAATGATTAGAGCAGTTTTACTCTGAAATAAATTACATAAGTTTTCTTTTAGATTAGGATATTTGCTATTGTCCTTGTAATATTTTCAATGTGATATCTATGTCTTGTAGTTGGCAAAGTATCTGAAAACATAACGGTTATATTGTCTACAAACATGTAATATATTCTGCAAAACAAAAAACATTTATTTCATGAAACCAAACAAAAAAAAATTTGTTTTAACACCAAAAAAAAAAAGAAGAACATTTTTCGATATTTTTTATCAAAAAGCCCAAAAATATTTGATTAGCATACATGCATTTGTAAAAACAAAAATGGTATCACGAGTATATTATGAAACCAAACTAAATATTCCAAAGCATATTCCTCCGTATTCAACAATTTAAGATGTGGTCATAAGGAAATTACAAACTTCCTAATAATTGCGTTTACTAATTTTCAAACGTCTTTTGAATCCCAAAAAAAACTTACAAACTCTCAGAATAAATCATATATAAGGGTGTGTGAGACTTGAAGAAAATAACGAACAGAAAAATTTAAAAGTAAGCTCATTGTCGAAAAATGTTTTGCATGAAGCTTTTTGTTTTTGTGGCTTTGGTGCTAACAAGTTGTGTTGCAAATCCTGCATTTAAAGAGTTGTCTGAAGAAGAAGATTTGGAATTAGAGAGACAACTTAAAGTTATGAATAAATCTCCTGTTAAGACTATCGAGGTTAGAGCTTTTTTCTAATTATTTTCAATAAATTTTATACAATGTTTTATTTTTTTTTATATATCTGACTTTTACATTATTAATTTTTTTAATGAATATATTAATGTTGAATTTGTTTTGCAGACCGAAGATGGACATATCTACGATTGTATAGATTTTTATAAACAACCAGCGTTTGATCATGCTCTCCTAAAAAACCATGATTTTCATCCGGATGTAATGTTTTTTTTCTTTCATAATAATTGTGTATTCATTTTTATTTTCTTAAATTCAAAATCGATTTCGTTTTTATTTTCTAGATGAAACCAAGCAAAGTGAATAGACCCCAAAAGGTTGAAAATGAAGAAGAAAGTCGTGACAATAAAACAAAATCTGTTACTTTAAAAGGAATTGGTTGTCCAAGAGGCACTGTCCCAATTAGGAGAACTACAAAAGAAGACCTTATAAGACTTAAAACATTCAATGAAATGTTTGACTCAAATATTCATCCTCAAACCAACTCAGAACCGGGTTTGCATGTGAGTAAATTCTCCTAATCTTATTATACTTTATAGTACATATTATATTATGAGTTACATTTAAATTTTATAAGTGTGGTATTCAATAGTATGCAGGAGGTAGAGTCAGACCAGAATGGATAAAGAAGCACATAGGAGGAGCAGACGGTCATTTCGCATTATACAAAACTCCATATGTTAACCAACTTCAATTTTCTTCCGGTCTGATCAAAGTATCCAACGGTTCAGATTTCATCAAGGCTGGTTGGACGGTATAACATAATCATAGCTATGAAATAAGTTAATTCATATAAAATTAGTATTTACACAAAAAAATTACATAAATTAATAGCTAATTCGTAATTATTTTTTGTGTTTTAATTATTTTTTACAGGTGAATCCGACGCTATATGGAGATAATCGTTGCCGGTTTTTTGCATATTTGCATGTAAGGGGTTATATATATATTTTTTTGTCGTTTTGTTTTATGCATTTGTGAAATGCTGCCACTATTTACGTGAAAACCTTACATAAAATGAATTACAAACATTTGTTTGTATCTAACTGTTATCGAAAACGAAAAATGTTCTTACAAAACATGTTTCATATATCATTTTTGCCTTATTTAATTGATATCAATTTGTATTTTTAATGTATAGACACGTGAACAACACTGTTTCAACACGAACTGTCCCGGTTTTGTGATAGTGAATACCGATATTCCTCTCGATTATGCATTTCCGGAAGTTTCATTGACCGGAGTACATATGGTTGAAGCTAGATTTTACATTTTCAGAGTAAGTTAAAATATTAAAATAGTGTTTACATATATATATGTAGTATCATTTTTTTACTATTTATTTCTAAACTTGTGTTTTTCTTTTTGTTTTTCAAGGATCCACTAAATGGAAACTGGTGGTTAAACATAGGAGATAAAGAAAAAACTATAGGTTTTTGGCCGTCTCGCATCTTCACTGATTTAGCATACAATGCAGACGATGTATTTTGGGGTGGCGAAATATTCACAATTCCAAACTCAAAGAGTAGTCCAATGGGCAATGGACTGAAAATTGTGTACGACGATCCGAAACTTTATGCATATGCTCGTGATGTCTCGATAGTAGATGCCGATAGTCAGAAAATTATTGGTGTAGCTGGTGCCAATGAGGTCATATCTGATATTGGTTGGGATTATGTGAGACAAAATTATTTCTATGTAAATAAATATTGGGGACGAACTATAATGTTTGGTGGTCCTGCAAGAATTTTTGGAAAATAATAAAGATACAAAGTTATGCAAATGAAAATATATAAATAAAAATATATTGTGCTCCAACAAATTTTGATATGAAATATTTGACCTTTGCCAGATACTCTCCGTTTCACAAAAAGCGTCGTTTTAAGGTTTTAATTTTGTTTCACAAAGAGTGTCGTTTTATGTTTTCAATGCAGTTTTTAAGACTAATTCTCCTTTTTATCCCTACTATTTCAGCTTATTAATTATAAAGAGAGTATTATCTAGTGTATTAATAAAAAGTAGAAATGACATTTGTTTAGTTTTTTTTTAATTTGTGTGAAAAATGGTAGAATTACACTCTTTGTGAAACAGAGGGAGTAAAAGATACTTATTTAAAATTTTAAAATTCACTTTTTTAAACTTTTAACAAGGTATTGTAAATCATAATTTTCACTAAAACATTGTTTCTTTTCTAGTGATAAATATTTGTTACAGCGATATACTAAAGTGAACAAAATAAAATACTTAATAACTTTGTTCATCTTTTTTTATATCTTGTTTACACTGGTATTTCCAAAATTTTATCCAAAATTTTTTTCAAAGATGATACTCTGTTTGGTCCACAATTCTCACGGCGGCATCTATTGATACACGAACATCCTCGTCTATATGGATTCTCTGGTGTGCGCTTATAACATGCGGGAGTTGGAAATCTTGGATCACATCCATTAGGATGTTTATGCACTGGAGGATATATAATATACCTTATGGCATCAGTGCTACTTATAAACACACATACAAAAGTCAAAACTGTCACAAACATAAACACTTGTGCTTTCATCATTATTTTATTTTCTGGATTATTTTTTTGTTTGGTAGAAAGAATATTGGAGATACAAATTCTTCTTTATAGTGCAAGAGATACGTTATAGTTCCATTGGCTTTAATACAAAAGTCCAATCTTGTCTTTGGTTGTGTATCAATTCAGATTCTTTTATTTTTTTAATGGAAAGACAATAAAATTTGGGAGTTATGGTTTTTGTTACGATTCAGACTTAGAAAAAAATAATAAATACGCATTCAATTTGAAATAAATTCAGAATGAAAAAACTGAGATTTTTTCACGACTACTTTATGTTCGTTTGTTTCGGTTATGGTTATAAAAGATTTATGAAATAAATTTGAGTCAATTTTTTTTTTTTAGTCATAAATCTCTTAGTCGGTTTTCCAATGCTCCTTAAATTCTTAGTTTTTATCATAAATAAATGAGAAATTTTAAATAATTAGATATTACTCCAGATATAGAGAGTATATAGTGTTAATTTGGTTTTGGATCTATTTAACCAGATTAGGTGCTCCTCAATTCCTAATTGTATGTACAAAACAGTAACGAGCTTAATGAAAGTAGTGTTTTTATTTTGATAACGACATATGAAAGTGTCATATGCATATTTGTTAGTTGTTACAAACACTTGGGTGCTTTATTTGTCAACTGTGTTGATCTCTGCTTGGATTTGCACCAATGATTTTAAGGTTTAGAAGTTCTATAGATAATTGAACAAATGATAATAAAGTTTTTAAGTTCCATTATTAAGTGAAGATCAAGGGACATGAGTTTGAACCGGGAACCACTGGTGGTTTCCGTTTCAACTAGATCTTCAATTCCGGTATATTAAGTTGGGTTAATTAATGGGCTTACGAGAACATAAAAGAACAGAAAGTTATTGGGCTTGGCACGTGTCTAAGCCCATGGCGAAACAAAAAGCTTTATCGTAATTTCCATTGTAACCTGCAAAAAAGGTTATTGTATTGGTTTAATTCGGTTGACTTGTAATTTCCGGTTAATCCCAATGGATTTTAAAGATTAAACAACCAAAGTAACCGTTGGAAAAAAACGAAGAAGCAGTTCTTCAAAAAAACACAATTTTCAATTCGCGTCTCCGAGATAGAGAAACTTCTGATAAAAATGGTGAACCCGATTTTAATGGCTTGTGTAATCGCCGGAATTGTCGTCGGAGTATTTAACGAAGTCGACGGAATTCAGATTTTATCGAAATCAAAGCTGGAGAAGTGTGAGAAAACATCAGATTCTGGTAATCTCAATTGTTCTACTAAGATCGTCTTGAATCTCGCTGTTCCCAGTGGATCCGTAAGACTTTTTTTTTTTCCCTAAATTCACATTTATCTGTTTGTTCTCTATATACGATTTGAATTTCATCAATTTTGGTTTTGTGATGAATTAAGAGTGGAGGAGAGGCTTCGATCGTAGCGGAGATCGTCGAGGTTGAAGATAATTCGAGTAGTAATATGCAAACCGTACGGATTCCACCGGTTATTACAGTGAACAAATCCGCAGCATATGCTCTTTATGATCTTACTTACATTAGGGTATGGATTTATATTAGTTATAAATTATTAGGATAATCTTAGTTTTGACTCACTATGTCTTCTTAAAAACGTTTTAGGATGTGCCTTATAAACCTCAAGAGTATCATGTTACGACTCGAAAGTGTGAACCCGATGCTGGACCGGATATTGTACAAATATGTGAGAGGCAAGGATTTGTCTAAATCTCTTATGTTTCTTTCTATGATCTATTTACTATGTTTCTTTGCGATTGTTTTTATAAAGATTTGTCCCTCCCAATCTAATTGTACAGGTTGAGAGATGAGAAAGGGAATGTTTTGGAGCAGACTCAGCCGATTTGTTGTCCATGTGGACCGCAGAGAAGAATGCCTTCATCTTGTGGAGATATTTGTATGTGTTTCTCTGGTTTAACATTCCCCTTCTTTAGTTTCTTTTAAAGAATATTATAGCTTAATCTGGACTCTCATTTCTTCTCTTGACTTTGATTAGTTGATAAGATGATAAAAGGCAAGGCAAATACTGCGCATTGCCTTCGTTTTCCAGGTGACTGGTACGGAATCTTACATGATATTTATCATATGCTCCTATCTTCAAGATGCAAACTATACTTTATCATTTTCTTTTTGAATTTGGCCGTTTGATTTCTCCTTTGTAGGTTCCATGTTTTCAGCATTGGACAACGGTCACTAGGATTTAGCGTGCGAGTTGAGTTGAAAACAGGAACTAGAGTTTCAGTATGTTTACTTTCACTAAATCCCCTTTTTCTTCGGGTTGAAAGCTTGCTTTGTTCCGAGTTACTCGGCCTTACGATTGTTTTTTTTTTAATCGTAGGAAGTGATCATTGGTCCTGAAAATAGGACAGCTACTGCAAATGATAATTTTCTCAAGGTTAATCTCATAGGAGACTTTGGTGGTTATACAAGTATTCCTTCTTTCGAGGACTTCTATCTTGTAATCCCAAGAGAGGTATCTGCTTATCCATTTGAACTCCTTTAACTTGCACCGCGCTGTAATGCTAAATGAATCTTTCGGTTGAAAAAGGCGGCTGCAGCGGGACAACCAGGGAGCTTAGGCGCAAATTACTCAATGTGGATGCTGCTTGAGAGAGTGAGATTTACATTGGATGGCTTAGAATGTAATAAAATCGGTGTTGGTTATGAAGCTTTCAACACCCAACCAAATTTCTGCTCTTCACCATATTGGAGTTGCTTGCATAATCAACTATGGAACTTCCGCGAGGTTAGTACTTATATGTTATAGCTTTATAAACACCTTACCGCATCATTGTTTCACTGATAACAAGTCTATTTCAGGCAGATATTAACCGAATCAGCCGACACCAACTTCCTTTATATGGACTGGAAGGAAGATTTGAGAGGATTAATCAACATCCAGTTATGTTTCCAGCTTTCCTAGTTTCTGAATCAACAGAACATACGATTTTTTGCCGTCTTATCGGATTTTTCTTTACACGATATAGAACGCAGGGCCTCACTCGTTCTCGATTGGAGTCACGGAAACACTCAACACAAATCTAATGATAGAACTAAGAGCTGATGATATTGAATACGTTTTCCAGAGGTAAAAAAGAAGTCTTCAACTACATGGAAATACTGATTATAAAGTAAAGTAAATAACTTTTCTGTGGTTGCAGGAGCCCTGGTAAAATCATAAACATCGCTATACCCACATTTGAGGCACTTACACAATTCGGAGTTGCTGCAGTCACAATCAAGAATACCGGTGAAGTAGAAGCATCTTATAGCTTAACGGTAATATTCAAAACTGAATCTTATCTGATAGTTTGGTAGCGAGAAAATGTTTGCTCCATATATTAATCGCATCTCACTCCCTCCTGCGCAGTTTGATTGCTCCAAAGGCGTGGCTTTTGTTGAGGTAACTAACTCTTATTTAAACTGCTAAGAAGAAGCATTAATTGTTAAGAGAGGAATGTTACAAACTGATAATGTTTTCAGGAGCAATTCTTCATTATAAAACCAAAAGCGGTTACTACTCGAGCTTTTAAGCTATACCCGACGAAAGATCAAGCTGCAAAGTATATATGCACAGGTGATTCCTTATAAAAAGACACCTTCTCATAACCTTTCCTGATTCCTTGCATCAAAAATGCTCTGTTTTCTTTGTGTGTAGCTATACTCAAGGATTCTCAGTTCAGTGAAGTAGACAGAGCCGAGTGTCAATTTAGTACAACGGCTACCGTACTCGACAATGGAACTCAGGTTCCTTCTACAGTTGAATTCAAACAGTTCTTGATTAATGTTGATGTTGATCATTAAGTGACCATTATCTTCAAACATGCAGGTTACTAATCCATTTCAAATTCCAGAAACTCATCCTAAAGGTTTCTTTGATTCGATAAGGATACTAGGGACGAAAATCATCAATGGTTTAGTCGATTTCATCACCGGAGATACTTGCAGGTTACAACACACTTCTCCTAACTTAACTTCTTTTGAGTAATAGTAATGATAACTTGAAAAGTGAACTAATATCAATAATATTTGCAGAAACAAATGCTCGAGTTTCTTTGATTTCAGCTGCCACATTCAATACGTTTGTTTAAGCTGGATGGTTATGTTCGGCCTTCTCCTCGCTCTTTTCCCAACCAGTAAGTGTCTGACCCGCAACCGCAACCAAAAATCGCTAACAGAATATCTCGAACTAATGGTTTTGTTTGCAGCATGTTTGCTTCTTTGGCTCTTACACCAAAAGGGACTATTTGATCCATGCTACAACTGGTGGGAAGATCATTTCGACTTAGACCATCATAGGAGATTATTACCCACCAGAGAAAACATCGCTAACCGCCATCATCACCATCACAAGCATCATCATGGTGTCAAAACCCATAATCATCATCGTAGGACACACCAGAGACACAAACACCATCATGGGGAAAACCATGACGTTTTGCAGAAGATGATGCTTGACCGTGACCACAGCGACGCTCACTACTACCACCAACTTCATCGAGTCCATAAAGATAGCAAGCAGAAGCAGCGTAGGCGACCCAAGCACGGGATTGTCATGCCACGTGATGTGCACGTGGAAAGACGGAGGAGACAAAGACTACGTGAGTGTTAAAGAGCTAAAGAGTATGTGGAAGAAGCACATTTGTATATGATGGATATATAATGAAATTGCATGTGTATTAAACCGAAAACCAAACCGAATCCAAATCTGATTTGTGAAGGAAAGATACATCAGAGTAAAAAAAAAAATCTCTATCTATACTAGTATATATTTTTGAAGTACATTTTTAGTGGGCGAGGCAAAATGCATTTGGATACAATTGATATCCGACCGTTTACAAATTTTGGTCACAAAATGTGTTGGGTCAGGTTATATTTAACTCAACTCATACACCGGATATTACATATTTAATAATTTAGATATTTAGAAGATTTGATTAAGATTTAAAATTATGATTTTCCTATCATCTTTGTTTGATTTGTTTTTAACTGTTTTGAATCATCATATAATATATAAAGTACAAATAAATCAATTTTTTTTTGCATATACTGTAATTTGAAATTTTAAAAACGAACATATATTATCCAATTGACGAAAAATGTGTGTTCAACGTTCCACATCGACTAAAATATTTAAACAATGATTCAGAATCACATCATAAATAAGATCAACATTAATAAAATAAATGGTTTTTTTGGTGGGACATGTTTTTGAATCAACGATAATAAAAAAATTAAAATATCATCTCATTTAGAAAAGATTGTATAAAACCAAAAATTGTCTCGTGGTATAATGTTACTACTATAAAATATACATATATTAGAGAATGATACAATTTGCAAATTTTATATATAATAAATAATCGATAAATTTTTAAAATTACTACTTTTAGAAAACAAATCACGGGACGGGTTAAGAAATTACGGGACGAGTTATATTTTGGAACGGGTTTATATGGCGGACGGGATTGAATCAATATTTATAAAATTTTAAAATATCATTAATATATCGCTTTAATACAGAGATAAAATTTTATAAATATTTTATAAAGAGATAAAATTTTATAAATATTGTATAAAGAGATAAAATTTTATAAATATTGTATAAAGAGATAAAATCTTCAAAATTTTATATATATTAATTTAGAAAAATAAATCAATCCGCGGTGTACCCGGGTTAAAATCTAGTTTTCTGGTATAAATAGAGACACCAAATAGCCAACGTAGTTCACATTCAATTGCTCTCTTTTTTTTCTTTTACCGAAAAAACTGGTTCGTGTCATTATAATCGTTACTTAGTTCCGCAGTTTTGTGCATAATTTTATTTTGATTTGACCAAGGCAGAGAGAAAGATGTCGACTGGTACTTCTCTCGAGGATTTTAACAACGAGAATGTTGATTTGGTATGGAATTTCTTCTTTTTTACTCTGTAAATTCTTTTGTTACTTTAATCTCCTTTGTTTAAATTATTTAATAAATTTACGTAAGGAAAGTTTATTTTCTCCTTTTTACTTAACGATTCGATTAAATTAGGGTTTCTATACATTCTGTTTTTTTTTTAGCTTCTGGCTATAAGAATTTCCATTGGTTGTTATACTTAGTTGTTATTTGTGTAAAAAAATAATAATGTACACGAGATAATTAGATCATGTTAATTATATTATATTGCAGGAGAAAATCCCAATTGAAGAAGTTTTCAAGGAGTTGCAATGCAGCAGAGAAGGTTTATCTGGAGCAGAAGGAGAAAGAAGACTCAAGATCTTTGGACCTAACAAACTCGAAGAGAAGAAGGTAAACTAAAACTTCCATATAAGTATTTTTGGCTTAAAGTCACTAACTATATTTTGGTGGTTCCAATTAACAACAACAGGAGGAACACATAACCCTCAGGTTCTTCGGTTTACTGTTTAAGCCTTTATCTTGGGTCATAGTAGCAGCTGCAATCATGGCTATTGTGTTGGCTAACGCCGATGGAAGACTACCGGGTTGGCAAGTATTTGTCGGTATTGTATGTCTTTTGGTGTTCAACACAATACTCTGCTATCTTGAAGAAGACAATGCCGGAAGTGCTGTTGCTGTTGTTATGGCTGGTCTTTCTCCCAAAACAAAGGTCCTCTTTATATACTCCCTTCATTCTTCTTTTTTCTTCATTGTTCTATACTCGACATACACCGTGAAAATGTTATATCTAAAATGAGTAGATTGTTAGCACCCTACTTGTTTTCATATAGTTTCTTGGGGTCATATTCGAAGATGATTCTAATTAACCGATAGAGATAGAAGTTTCACAATGTATATTTTGTAGCTCTTGTTTGCTTCATTGTTCTACTAGACATATATCTAGATTGTTTGTTGGTATTTGCAATGTATCAACTAGTGTTTGATACAATCTTGGGGCTATTTTGGTTTTTTTTTTGGTTTTTATTTTGAAGGTTTTGAGAGATGGAAAATGGTCAGAGCAAGAAGCTTCAATTCTTGTTCCTGGAGATATTGTAAGCATCAAGCTCGGTGACATCATTCCTTGTGATGCACGTCTTCTCGAAGGCGATGCTTTAAAAGTTGATGAATCTGCTCTTACCGGAGAATACCTTCCCAGCACAAAATGTCCAGGAGAAGAAGTTTTTTCCGGTTCTACCTGCAAGCAAGGTGAGATTGAAGCGGTTGTGATCGCTGCTGGAGTCCACACACTTTTCAGTAAAGCGGTGCATGCGCATCTTGTTGACAGTACAACAAATCAAGTTGGATATTTCAAGAAATTTGTAAACGCAATAGGAAACTTCTGCATAATCTCTATAGCCATCGGTATTTCGATTGAGCTCATTGTGATGTACTCGATCCAGCGCAGAAACTTCAGAGACGGAATTTACAATCTTCTGGTTCTTTTGATTGGTGGGATCCCCCTTGCAATGCCTACTGTTCTATCTGTGACAATGGCTATTGGGTCCCTTACGTTGTATCGACAAGGAGCTATCACGAAACGAATGACCGCCATTGAAAAGATGGCCGGTATGGATGTTCTGTGCAGCGATAAAACCGGGACTCTGACTCTCAACAAGCTTAGTGTTGACAAGAATCTGATTGAAGTTTTTGCTAAAGACTTTGAGAAAGAACAACTTTTGCTTTTAGCTGCGAGAGCTTCAAGAACAGAGAATCAAGATGCTATTGATACTGCTATGGTTGGATCTCTTGCTGATCCAAAAGAGGTATATATAAGAAATTTTAAAAACTCTGTTTTTCCTCTGTTTTCTTTCTTGAAGAAAAAGGAATTTTTTTCTTTGATAGGCAAGAGCTGGAATTAGAGAAGTACACTTCTTTCCATTCAATCCAGTTGATAAGCGAACCGCTTTAACTTATATCGATGGCAACGGAAACTGGCATCGAGTAAGCAAAGGAGCTCCAGAGAAGGTATAAAACTGATTCTGTTTTACTTTTAAGTCGAGTACTGTTTCTCTATAACAATTAACCGTTAAAATCGATTCTTCGATAATTCAGATTCTTGATCTTTGCAACGCAAGAGCTGATCTGAGGAATAGTGTCCACTCTGCAATCGAAAAATACGCTGAGCGTGGACTCAGGTCATTAGCTGTTGCAAGACAGGTGAGAAAAATAGTACATCTTGTACCAATTTAGGAAGATGAAAAAAAGACAAAAGATTTTATGTGAATTTTGTGTTTCTTTGTTACAGAATGTACCTGAGAAAACAAAAGAAAGCTCTGGTGATCCATGGGAATTTGTTGGTGTATTGCCATTGTTTGATCCTCCAAGACATGATAGTACAGAAACCATTAAAAGAGCTTTAGACCTCGGTGTCAACGTGAAGATGATTACCGGTTTACATCTTTACTTTCTCTATTTTGGTGTATATGCAAAATACCGACTTTTATCTTCGATTTCTTTCTTATGTTTCCGTTGTTTTTATAGATGATCAACTTGCTATTGCAAAAGAAACTGGACGTAGACTTGGTATGGGAACAAATATGTACCCAATCACATCATTACTCGGTAACCACAAAGACGATATCATCACTCACCATCCTGTTGATGAGTCGATTGCGATAGCTGATGGCTTTTCTGGTGTCTTCCCAGGTTTGTTCAATAGCATTTTTCCATATCTTGGTTCCGAAATACATATTTGCTCTCTCTCTGTAACACTGTTTTTTTTTTTTGGTTACCAAATTTATTCAGAGCACAAATACCATATTGTGAAGAAGTTGCAAGAGATGGGGCATATTTGTGGTATGATTGGTGATCGAGTGGATGACACTCCTGCATTAAAGAAAGCGGATATTGGTATCGCTTTTGCGGATGCTACTGAAGCTGTAAGAGCTGCTTCTGATATCGTTCTGACTGAGCCTGGACTCAGTGTTATCATCAACGCGGTTCTAACTAGTCGAGCCACTTTGCAACAAATGAAATACTACACAGTGAGTGTGCATGAACTTATTAAACTATACACAGCCTTTTCACTTGTTCTGATTTTCTGATGTTTATCTTTTAACAGATTTACGCAGTCTCAATAACCATCCGTGTTGTGGTAAGTTAATCAATCTTGTATGTTTTCTTTAATATCATCAAATAACCTCTCTTTGTGGCTTTTTCAAAGCTCGGGTTCATGTTCATCGCGTTAATATGGAAGTTCGACTTTTCACCAATCATGGTTTTGGTCATTGCTTTCTTAAACGATGGTGAGTTTTTACTCTTTAAAAACTTTCCTTATTTGCTCTAAAAGACCAACAATAATAAACATTATTAATAATTTCTCCACAGGAGCCATCATGACTATCACAAAGGACAAAGTCACCAATCCTTCTCCTACACCAGTTAGCTTGAAACTCAAAGAGATCTTCGCAACCGGCGTTGTTTTTGGAAGCTACATGGCTTTAATAACTGTTGTATTCTTTTGGGCTGCATATAGAACCGATTTCTTCGCGGTATGTATAAACAAATCTCTCTTCAAATCCACCATAACACAAGCATAATAACAAAACTCTTGGTTTGTTTTATATATAGAGAACGTTCCACGTGAGAGACTTGAGAGGCAATGAAGCGGAGATGATGTCTGCTTTATACTTACAAGTCAGTATTATGAGCCAAGCTCTTTTCTTCGTCATTCGATCGAGAAGCTGGTTTTTTGTCGAACGACCTGGAGTGTTCTTGCTTCTTTCTTTCATGCTATCACAATGTGTAAGTATAGAAAACATGATTCTGTTTCTTCTTTGTCTTATTTTTTCATTATAAAGTCTCTTCACTGATTCATATATAAACTTGACCTTGCAGCTTGCAACAATAATCGCGGTTTACACAAGTTGGGAAACTGCGAAAATCGAAGGAATAGGATGGGGTTGGGCTGGAGTCATTTGGCTCTACAACATCATCTTCTTTTTTCCATTGGACATATTGAAATTCGCAATCCGTTACATGCTAACAGGAAAAGATTGGCAATATCTCATTGACAACAAGGTACACTTAGTTTTGAACTATTATAAACTCAGCTGGGGAATCATCACCAATCCATCTTGCATCATTGATCGGGTGATAGATGGTAAAGACGACCATACTTACTCACTCTTGGAAGATTCAACTCCATCCCACGGCTGAGAGGGCGTTGCGCGGATTTAATACCATATTGTGTTCTAGTTAGTTTTATTCTTTATTTTGAAGTATTTGTTTTTGCCTTTTTGGTGTAATTTTGTTTAGTTTTTTCATTTTTTTTTTTGTTTTTGTTTAGAAAATTTTAGTTAAATAGAAATTAGAATTTGTAATTCTACTGGCAGGTTTATTACTATGTCGTCTTCTAAATTTTTTTTTTTTAAGTGTTTGCTTAAATTATTTATAGAGAAATTACTCAAATAACCACATTTTCAAAAAAAAAAACAAAAATACCACTATTAGTTTTATTTTCCAAAAATACCACTAAAATTTTGTTTTCCAAAACTATCATAAACACTAAAATTGATTTTCAAGAGTGTCGAATTTTTTTTTTTTTTTGGTTTGGTACTATTTTAGTTTTGAAGGTTGATATTTAGTTTTACCTTTGTGGTATTTTTGAAAATAAATAGTATACCTTAGTGGTAATTTAGAAGGAAAAAAACCATTAATGGTATTTTTGGAGGAAAAAAAAAACTCATTTGAGTGGTACTTATGAAAATTGTCCAAAATTATATCGATGTTTAAACTAAACCCTTTTTTGCAAATTCTGATTAAAGTGGTTGACCATGATTTTTCTTATTTGATTCATCAAAATTACAACTAAAAAGTACAATTATAATAAACCTCAAATCTGGTGATGTGTAGGAAATACTCTTATAAATTGTATTTATTCAATATTAACTAACAAAATGTGTTCACTGGCTTAAATAATCATCTTAGAACAATAGAGAACCTTCAAGACTTTCCACATAAATCATCATCACATAAACCAAAAAAACAAAAGAGGAAAAAAAACCCAAAAAAATATCCCAGAAAAAAAAAGAAAGACCTTAAAACGACGAGTTTCACCGATCCAATCTTTTGATTGCAATTTTTTCACATAACAAACATCTCTTTCTTTTCCCCTTGCTCACTCCAAGTCTCTCAAATTTTTCACAATCAATCATTTCTTTGTTGCGAACCAAAAAGCTCGTGTGATTCTCCAATCTTCTTCTTCTCTCTTATGGCGACACCGAATCAGGAATCAATCGACACTTTCATCAGCAGCACCGGCGCTTCAGAGGCCGTCGCTCTTCAGAAACTCGAGGTGATCTCGATTCCTGTTATCCTTTTCTCCTTCTTCGTGAGTCTCTATGATTGGAGATGGGGAAAGTGAGTCGACCTTAAACGATCTTGGATTGACCAGCAAACAAGAAGCATTATTCCTTGAGCTTATCTGAGTAAGTTTAAGCTCTTAAATATAAGACTTAATACATTTGTCTTCTGCTTAGAAAACTCTTTAATTTTCAAGTTATTTTTATCTTTCTTTATACAAAGGAAAAATATTTTGTTGAGGGTGGAGGATTATAGTTTATAAAACCGTCGTCGTTTAGTCGTTTCAGTTGTACATACAATAATACTGCCTTTTGTCAGTCTCTCTTATCTTTGTCTAGTTATAATGTTGATCAAAATCTTCAAATTTGCTCTTTCAGCTTCTGATTTATAAAATGAAGACTGTACTTGACAGTTTGGGAATTAGATGGGTAATACAACTCCCCACAAATTCGTGTTAAATGTTGATTCCCTACGAAGGTTTTGTACTCTGGAGAGTCAAACCAACTGTTCAAGTTCTGGTGTTTTTTTTTTTTACGAATCAAGAAGCTTTGTTACAGTCTCACAAAGCAAAAAAAAACGAAAAGTTTATTGACATGGCTATGGTCAGCAATTAAAAACGGATTGAACCAGATAAATGAAGCAAAGAAGAGATGGAAAGAAGCCCAAAATTGAGCATTATATAGAAAACCTTCAATCCAATTGAAAGCAGAATGAATTAAAATCTATTATGTTCATTCATCAAACAGTGATACTGACAGCATTAAACTCATATATAAAACATGACTTGGGCAGTGTAAGCACAACATCACACCACTCAATCTTCCCATAAATCTCTTGTGCATTGCGCCTTTCAAGGGCAATCTCCGCACACCAAATCATCTTCTTGTTATAGCCGATAGGACGGCACACTTTCTTCTCCCAAAAAACCGCAATCTTTCCATCAGAATCCACTAATCTAACACAAGTAACTGACAATAGAGGTAATTCAGGTAGTACTTCCAAACCCTTCAAACTTCCCCGCGAGCTTCCTTGAGGGTCATACCATTCGAGCATTCTGGAAATTTCATCATAATAGTAGATTACCTTATCTATCACGCAAAAGATAGAATCGGGTAGTACAATCTCGAGACGCGGGCTACGCAGTTCAAAAGTAAATCATCAGGAAGATAAGGCAGATCAACTGGTGTATTCCTCATTAGCACAAAACCCTTAGACAAGTAAATCAAACACAAAGAGCCTTTCTTGTTAACTAACTACTTTATACAGTGGAGAAATATATATTCCCTAGATATACTTATTAGGAAATATTTAAGTGACAGGATCGAAATATGTAAAATTTCCTTCTTTCTTTAGACGGTTTATGATGAACTGATTGGCAAATATATTTGGATCGGAACTTAGAGATCGTAGAATTTCTAAAGTATTTTAGAAATTATGTTAGGCTGGAAAATAACTTTTATACAAACCGAATTTGAACATATAATTAATGAACCAAATGATTCTAAAATTTGTATTCAAAAGTTAAAAATTGCGTCGTTTTCATCTCTATACCATATAATGATTATGAAAAATAATACACGATATATATCATAAGATCCCCCACAAAATATAAATGTCAAGACTGGTTACTCTACTTTACACTTGCACGATATCATATGGCTCGTGTAAGCACACCATCACACCAATCAATCATCCCATAAATCTCGTGTCCGTTGCGCCTTCCAAGCGAAATCCCAGCACACCAAATCCTCTGCTAAATCCCGATTAGAACATTGTGTCTTTCAAGCGCAATCGCAGTTTCTACTCTTTGCTTTGCGTACATTGTGTAGGAATATTTGGTTACTTTTTCACTACAAATAGTTATTCCATCCCAAAATATACTAGAGACGCGTGTACGTCAAATCTAGCCAAGTTTTTTTTTTCCTACACTGGAGACTAAAAAAAAAACTCTTTTAAGTGCTTGAAGTAACCAACTCTTTAAGAGCAAAAGGGAACATTTTTTTTATATGGCTTTGTCTAAGAGTCAAAAATAGAGTGAAGGAGAGAAGAAAAAAACTCAGAACAAACTCAAAATAGAGTTTTATAAGAGAGAAACGTCGGATGCATTATATAATAAGCGTTCAATAAAATTGGAAAGAAAATGGTATTAGTGACTATTCATTCATCAAAGTATCAAACAGTAACAGCCACAAATTGCAATAAAGAACATGACTTGGGGACAGTAAGCACAACGTCACACCACTCAATCTTCCCATAAATCTTGTGTGCATTGCGCCTTTCAAGCGTAATCTCAGCACACCAAATCATCTTCTTCTGAGGGTCTCCAACACGGACATCCTCCTCCCACAAAACTGCAATCTTTCCACCATAATTCACCAATCTAACACGAGTATAATCCTTTGGTAGTTTAGGAAGTTTTTTCAAACCCTTCAAATATCTCCATGTTCTTTCCTCTGTGTTGTACCACAAGAGCAATCTAGATGCTCCAAAACAGTAGATTACGTTATCTACTACGCAAGATATATAAGAGGGAGTCCAACGCAAAGGCATCTCCAATCCTACCACATCCCATTTATTTTCGTTGGGCTTGTAAACCAATTTTTTATCCCCAAACAGGTAAAGCTTTCCGTCGAAAACTAAACTTGCTGTAATATACCTACCACGTATCGCCGAGCTAGGGCTTGGCACATGCTCCCATGTTAAGGTTTTTTGATCGAAACACTCGATCAAATTCGAGTAATCGGGATTTTTGCAGCCTTCGATTACATATATTTTCCCATCAAGAACATTAACGGAGGGTTTCTTTGGGGCCCTATGCATGCTTGGAGCTTCATGCAATGTGTGAGACCGACAGTCCATGAAGAAGAACCTAGATGAGAACACACCGTTGCTGAATATGCTCATCATATAGATATTAGAACCAATTGCGATACCAGTCAACTCAGACGATGGAGAACTAAGACTGGGAATTTGGAATGAGACCATGAGATTGTCACTTGACTTCTTCTCTTTCTTCATAGTATGATTCTTTAGGATTCTATCTGGTCTAAAGCAAGAAGAGAACCATCGTGAGTTAAAGTTAGGGTTAGGGTTAGGGTTAGGGATTCGAGTTGGCCTTCGGCATAGAGTGAGCCAACGTGTATCAGATTCAGAACTTAAACGTAAGCTCAGATAAAGACAATTCTCGGTGTGTCCTAAGAGCATTCGGATCTCATAAAGCTCAAGAGATGACACGAGAGAGCGGAATCTCTTGGAAACTAAGGAGAGAATCGGGTAGTACAATCTCGATACGCGGGCTAAGCAGTTCAAAAGTAAATCATCGGGAATGTATGGTATATTATTAACTGGTGAATTCGCCATTAGCAGAAAACGCTAAGAGAGTAATCAAATTTGAGGAGCCTTAGGGATTATATTCCTAAATCTAGTTGAACTCGTAACTCCTATATTGTAACAAATCTTGATTTAGATATTATATTAGTACTATCAAGTGATAGGATCGAATCGTACCTAATATATTATGCAGTTGTTCCTCTTGTTTAGAAGGTTAATGATGACTTGATTTGCTAGATATTTGAACCGGACTTGGGCTAAAATCTCTATACTATTAAAAGAGAAGTACAAATGTAAATGGGTCGGGTCAAAATCAGAAAATTGACCCGAAATTCTGAAATCGGATCTTTGAAATTTTTTGGAATATAAATTCGAATTAATAATGAAAAATCGAACTAAAATCAAATGTTTATGGAAATCAAATAAAATTTGATTGTACTTATGGTAACTAATTATAAAATCATATTCCAAACAATATTATACATTAATTACGTATAATATATATGTTCATATACTTTTGGAACTAATTCCATAATAATCAACGTTTTTCACATTAATTTTGCTTATTTTAGCCAGTTATCATTAATTAAAAGATATCTTACTTGCTTCTAGAGATTTCTAGAAAATTTATCACAACTAACCCATCTATTTTATAAATTAAATAGATTTTTTTTTTTTTTTTGGTCATGTAAATTAAATAGATATGAAATATATGTAACTAATTTTAATTTAATTAGATTAAATCGAAATTATGGTATTTTCATACTTATAGCTTACCAAAGAAGTTTAATTTTTAAATTATAAAGATTTCTTGAATATGATTTTTAGAATTATTCAAGATGATAAATATTTATTAAACTTTGTGAATCATGAAAAATATTAATTATTTTTTAATCATTATATTTCACCTTTCAATCTCTCATCTAACAAATAAGATACATATTCTATTATTCCTATGTCCAAACTCCATCGTGTTGTATGACTAAATAATATTTCCATTAGAGCTGTCAAAACGAGTTGATTCATCCCGTTAAGCCTGTTTTGCAATAGGCAAAATATATTTTGGCATGTAGTTAGTCTGTCCGCACGACCCGCGGATAGCATATATGAAACACAAACCCGTCGCGCGAATGTATGCTGATTTGCGGGGTTATCCGTGGATTTTTTTTAAATAATTTTAGAGTAACCAAAATTTAAAGAAATAAATAAATTAGAAAAAATTTAGAGATTATAATCTTATATATCATTATATTTATAAATATTATAATTTCATTTATTAAAAGTTTTTTAAACTACCACATGTTGAATAAATTATATTTTTATCAATAAATACTATCATGCGGGTTGATCCGCCAACCCGCGGATGAAAACCGATGACCTACTGCGAATCAATCCATGTGGCCCGCTTATTTGCAGGTTTAATATATTTTCCCAAATCTGCTCAATAGTGAGATGATTTGGGCTCGACCTGCGGTTTTGGACCTATTTTGACAGCTTTAATTCCCATGATTCGTCTAATTTTTGAATTCTAAAACACAAAATTCCATTTTATAAATCATAATTAATATGATTGGTTTAATTATAAACAATTTAATATTTTCTTTACAATTTGTTATTAGGAATATTTATAAGTACACTATATGATTCGTTCTATTAAAAACATGCACAATATTAAAATCAACGTATGTATAATCAATATTCTCCCACGGTGGACCGCGGGTCCGATCCTAGTATCCATACTACAATCAAATGAAAAGGGCACTAACTTTTATATAATGACCGAATGTTGATTCAAACCGAGTTTAAATATGCAATTAATGAACCAAAAGATTTTAAATTTTGTAATTAAAAGTTATGAACCAATGTTGGTCTAGGTCATGAATAGATTTTCCTCGAGCGCAAAATTTACTTTATCATTTCATTGAACCAGCAGAAATGGTGTTATAATGCTTTAGGCCCATTAACAAAATCTGGTGAGTGGACTAGTGACAGCTACACCCCTACATTTGTGACTCAGTTTGGGTCTTACAAGCCTTTTGCATGTATGTTACTTTCCTATGCTATAAAAATATTTTATTCTTTAAAATCTTTTCCGTTTAGTATGTAAATAAATAATTTTAAAAAACTAATATATATATATATATATATATATATAGGTAAGAACCCGTTTCATGCCCGGATAAATCTTATGTTATTTAATTTTATAATAGAACGATTTAAAAAAAAAATCAAAGTTTTATATTGAATCAAATTCAATCTAATTTTTGTAAATGCGTTAAAGATTTTAAATTAAAATAATACCATGTAATAACACAATTTTTAAGTCTATAAATAAAACTACAAATTAAATTTTAAATATTTTAAAGATTTATATTATACAAATAAAGTTGCATTTACGTCATTCATAAATTTAGACTTATTATAGATTTGAAGATTCAATTTTTTTAATAATATATAAAAACATTTGTTTCTGTTAAAATGCATATACTATATGTTTACATTATTACACAATGCATTTAATATAAAAAATCTTTATATAGAATTTTTCTGATTTAAAAATTCGAAATATTTAATTTTTGTAAGTTTAGTTAATAAGAATAAGTAATATATGAAATTAAAAGTGTTTGACAAGATAGATAGTAAAATTAAATAAGTAATAAATAATTGTGGATTCGACACATAGACGCCGAAAACTCTCTTTTAATATATAGAGGATATATATATATTGAAAACAGACCTCTACAATAAATAAATAAATAAAATGTATTTATTATCAAATATGCTAGACGAGTTTTGAGGTCTCCGACATAGGTTTGGTGTTTTCTCTTTTTAGAAATTTTTATTTTAAGGCTAATTGTTTAGTCCATATGTTTTTTCTTTAATTCTTTTCTTCTTGCGTTTTTATTACCATTAGATTTTCATGCTTTTAATGTTATTCCGTTAGAGTTTGCCCCGATTTTAAGGGAGGATATTGATGGACCTTTGCGTCCAGAGCAAGTCCGCATGTAATTATTTTTTTGTTTTTTAATAATATCCGGGAGAGTTTCTCCCGGTTACTCACCCAAAAAAAAAATTACTTTAATTTAATGGTGTAATTGAAAAAATAATTGTGTGGTTCTAAGACTTTCCATTATTAGATGAGAAAAAATTAAAGTCAATGGAGAACCACGTCTTTAGAACCAAAATTTATGGAGGTAATTAATAAGAATTAAGATGTACCAAAAAAAAACAAATTGACACCTCTAACTTTCCTTATTTATACTTGTAAACTCTATTCACATTTTTTAACTTTTAAAACATCATCAAATTGTGATCAGGAAAAAAAAAAACGAAAAAAAAAACCATCGTCAATTCTTTAACAACAAAATATTAACCAAAAAAATCAGCAATTTATTCATAGAATCATAGCATACGAGATGAAGAAACCCAGTCAACTATCGACCACCATTCTAACTATCTTCGTGATCCTTGCTATAGGTTTGTATTTATACTTAATTATAACCATTAAAATATTTATATATTATCATATGAAAATAAATAAGTTGTCAAGAAAAAGTTATTTCTCTTCGAATTTAAATTCAACTATCTAATGTCAAATCTATATTTTACTTAGATGGCGAAATTTTTTTAAAACTATTTATTAGCACTTTCAATATGCTATATCGAAACCCTGCCAAGTATAAGATATATGGAGTGTACTTGTTTTGTTATAACACTTAAATTACTGGAACCATGTATTTTTGAAACTTCTTTATACAATTTTGTTATTTCCATAGTTCTTACATGTAAATGGTAACTATATAATAAAAAAAATAACCAAACCTAATTAGAAAAGTCTGTGAATAAGTCTTTGAAGGGAACAGCAAATTTACTCCATAGTAATGTTGACCTTTGAAAATCCCTAACGAGAAGAGAGTCTGGTAAATGAATTAGACACTATAATTGGTTAGCTAGGAGAACATAGTGTATAATTAAATTCAAAACCATAGCACCCTTAGTTTTTAGCTAAAAACTATTCAAACATCAATATAATCTTGACAAAAAAATATTTTTATAATAGAAATTGACATTTTATGTCTAAAATATTTATTATATATCGTAGGGGTGATGGTGAAGGAAACACTGGGACAGGCGCCGAGGACTTGTTTTGAAGCTCTAAAAGATGCTTCTAAAGGTGCATCAACATGTGACTCGGAATTGTGTGCCTCTCTATGTAAGAAGAAATCTGCCGACGGTGTTGGTACTTGCAGAACAAAGACGACACAACCCAGTAAAGGACAACCAGAATGCCACTGCAGATTTTGGTGTCGATCAGATGGAAGTCCGTACAAGTAGAATTTTCAGACCATCAATTTACCAAGTTAAATACATGGAACACGGAGTTCCTCACATTTTTCATTTGATGCTATAAAATTTTGTAATAATTGTATATAAGTATAACAATACTAAATAAGTAATTATAAAAAATATACTAAATAAGTAGACCATGACATAATCACTTTTGTGCTAATCTTGTCAGTGCATGTCTCACACATAATGTATAATTTTAAATAAAAAATTTTAAAAAATATTGATCATCATATAATATTTTGTGTATTTTATATTAAATATGTTCCATTTAAAATATTTCAAAGTTTATTTTAAAAATTATATCTTATGAAGAAAAATATGAAAATAAAACTCAAATGATAAAAAGGTAAAATAAGTTTTCATCTTAGATATAAATAAATTATTAAAAATAAACTAAAATTGTTAAAGAAAGTAAAAAATATCCTAGTTTTTTGTCAGTCACTCTTTTTATTTGGCCAAAATAAAAAGAGCTGTCTATGTCTATGTCATTACCCGTTATGCATTACATTTACATATAGCTGATGGAGTAAACAAATTGTTTTGAAGCTGGAATCCAAAAGATGTTGGAACCCTTTTTCTTTCCGTTAATATTTGAAAGAATATGACTGCATTCGTTAATCTTATTTTATTTGTTTTAGGTTGCAAAAGAAGAGTTTGATAAGTTGAACTGTTGGAACTTGGAAGGGTTACATCGTAATATATGGGAAAATGGTCAAATATGGACCACAATTAGAATATTTAAAAGTTAAAAATTACGTTGATTATTTTTTTTTCAACTAAACATATATAGTTTGTAGTTCTGCATATGAATTCAGTTTCATTTATATTTTTGGGGATACATGTTTGTAATTGAGACATACAGTTATTAGATTTTTGTTTTGGAAATGATGAGAAGGGTAAATAAGTTTCTACACAAAACAGAAGAAGGGTAACAAGCCATGACCTGAGTGTATAAAGTAACCAAATCTGATGTTTTTGAGCAAAAGCAAACAATTTGTTTTACATGGCTGAGTTAAAAACAGAGTGAGGCAGAGAAGAGAAGGAAACTATACATAACTGAAAACATGTCCAAAACAGAGAAATTTTTTTACTTTTAAATAATTCAATCGAATTAAAACATCCCCTTATTATTAAAAGGGAAGTACAAATTGAAAAATGGTCAAATTTAGCCTCAATTTCAATTTCAATTTTGGATTTTGTTCTTTGTTAATCAAAATCGTCAAGGGTAATTTAGTCAAAAAAATTCATTAAACCTTATAGGATCCGCGTGTTAATCACTCGGGTGGGTTAGGAGTAATTGAAAGTGCAGATATTGCTGGAACAAGAAACGGTCTGTTGGAACAAGTTGGGGTTTGCTCGGTTGGTGCTGACGTGGCTAGTGGAGTTGAAGATAAATATGAGAAAGATATTTAGAGAGATCAAATCAGAAGAAATGTGCAACTGAAGATATTCTTGGAGAAGAATATTATTGAAGATTTGTTTCTTTTGTTTAAAAGAGGATATTTTTCTTTTGTATCGGGATAAAATCTAGGGTGACATATCTCATAGGTATATGGGTATATATACTAGGGAGATGTGTGCTGCTAGGGTTAGCCAAAAATAGAGAGAGAAAACGAATAGCTTTGTTTCGGTGCTTTTGTAGGCAAGTCGAGCTGCTTGTTGGAACACGGGTTTAGTTGTTCTGATATTGGATGTAACTAGATATTGTTTGGTGTCGAACTAAGATGTTCTTAGTGTCGTGTAATTCCAGTTAGGCAAGGTCTTGTTGTAAAGATTGTCTAAGTGAATCTAGTTATTGTTTTGAGGACGTAGGCACGTTGCCGAACCTCGTTAATTCTCGTGTGCCTTATCTATCTCTGCTTTTTCAATTGGTATCAGAGCGGGCATCTCTAAAGAGTCTGACTCCACAAACAGGTGAGGATCCTGAGGAAAGAGATGGATGATATATTTCGAGAATGGTTGGCAGTTAAAAGTCTTGAGTTAGATGCTGAAAACTATGGATATTGGAAGGTGAATATGAAGGCAATCATACAAGGTATTGATGAGGACGCTTGGACAGCTGTGGAAGATGGCTATGAAGTCTCCAAAATTGAAGAAAGAGACGGTTCTATTGTCACTAAACCAAAGGCTAAATGGACAAAGAATGAGAAGACTATGTCAAGGTATAATGCAAAAGCTTTATCTACTATTTTTACCTCGGTTAACAAGAATCAATTCAAGTTGATTCAAGGGTGTGAATCAGCCAAAGAAGCGTGGGATAAGCTAGAAAAAGTTTTTGAAGGAACAAAAAGTGTGAAGATATCAAGAATTGACAGGCTAGCCTCTCAATTTGAGAATCTACGAATGGATGAGCACGAAAATGTTACAGAATTTAGTGCTAAGCTGCGTGCGATTGAAATGAAGCACATGTGATTGGGAAGACGTACAAAGACAAGAAGCTTGTCAAGAAGTTGCTGCGATGTTTGCCTAAGAGATTCGAGGCACAAAAGGCGGCTATGGAAACTGCTTTTAACACGGATGAGACCCCATTTGATGAAATAGTTGGGAGACTACAAGCGTATGAGATGGACCAACAGGATGTCATTTCAAATAGTGTCAATAGACCAACTCTATATGAGAATGATGACAAGTTGAGAATAAAAAATTTAGAAGAATCTATGGGCTCACTTGTGAAGATGTTTGGGAAACTTCTTAAAGACGTTGGAAAAAGGGGTAAGAACTCTTTGGAAAATGATCATGGCACATACAAAAATGTGGGAGAAGGAAGACGTGGTATACAGTTCCATGAATGTAGAGGTTTTGGACACATCAAGTTTGCATGTCCGAGTATCAAAAAGAAGAAAAAGGTTCGTTGCTTAGGATGTAACGGTTATGGACATACAAAATCTGAGTGTGTCGACGGTGTGAAGATAAAAAAGAATATCTATGTAGACTCTAGTGAGAGTGAAACAGATGATGAAGAGGAGTTAGCCAACTTCGTGGCATTACCTTCATTCGTGGAGCACAAAGAAGGAAGCGAAAAATCTGATTCTATATCAACTGCTGAAACAAGTAGTGAATACTCCAACACAAGCAACGATTCAGAAAGAGATCGAGAGGTGGATCTTCAAGCTGAATTCAAAAGTCTTTATGAGAGTTGGGTTAAGAAAAGTAAAGACTACATAGTACTAATCGATGAGAAGATGTTGATGGAAAGTAAGATAAAGAATATCGAGAAAGAGCTAACTCTTGAGAAAGAAGAATCAGAGAAATTGAAAATCAAGCTTGCTGAAAATCAAAAGTGTTCTTGTGCTTTGAAGAATGAAGATCATGAAGTTGTTCATATGCTAAACGTGAAGGAGGAACTTGCAGCAGAAAAAGAAAAATCCAAACGGTTGGAGGATGAACTCATGCAGAATGAAAAGTACTTAAGGATGTTGAATAATGGAACAAAGAACCTAGATCAAATACTAAGCATGGGAAGAACAGAGAAAACAAGATTTGGTCTTGGTTATCAAGGAGGTACATCTGATTCAAAGACTGTTTTTGTTCAAGAGAATCTGTCGAAATCTGCTGGAACAAGGGAAAACCTGTTGGAGACGACCGCAAAAAGTCTCATCATAACTCCGATGGATGAGCATAATGTACAAGTCAAAAGTACAAGTCCATGTATTTCTGATGAGAAGAAGATGAGTTATGTTTGTGGATGCAACAAAAGTTCATCAAATTTAAGAACATGTGTTGCTAGCTGGAACAAGCTGAATTCTGTTGGAACAGAAACCCAGAAGAATCACCAAAAAGTGTTTTGTACTTCAGGATGCTTTTATTATGGAAAGAAAGGGCATATCAAGGCCTACTGCTATAAATTTCTTGACAAGATTAGATGTGCATTAAAGCAAAAGAAGTTTGTTCAAGATTCAAGGAGATTTCAAAAGGTTTGGATTAAGAAGAAGGATTTGTATGGTGATGTGTCTCATAAGTCATCAACCAATACTCCAAGGAAGATGATGTGCTGCACATGTAGGTGTTTGAAGCACATATCAAATGATCAAGCAAAGTTTGTGAAGAAGAAGTTCGAATTTAGAAATGAGAGTTATTGGAGAGATCCAAGTGGAAGACGATTCTGATCGAGGAGAATATTCCAGCAAGTATGGTTATGCACATGTTTTTAACAAAGTTTTATCACTCAAGCAGGGGGAGAATGTAGAAGATCCATGGAGAGTAGAAGATCCAGGGAGAGTTAATTATCACACTGATATATGATTAAGGGGGAGATTGTGTATCATGATGTCTTTCTGGGGATGCGTGATAATTATGGTGAGCTTGAGTTGTAAAACTCAGTTAAAAAGGGGGAGAATGAAAGTGCAGATATTGCTGGAACAAGGAACGGTCTGTTGGAACAAGTTGGGGTTTGCTCGGTTGGTGCTGACGTGGCTAGTGGAGTTGAAGATAAATATGAGAAAGATATTTAGAGAGATCAAATCAGAAGAAACGTGCAACTGAAGATATTCTTGGAGAAGAATATTATTGAAGATTTGTTTCTTTTGTTTAAAAGAGGATATTTTCCTTTTGTATCGGGATAAAATCTAGGGTGACATATCTCATAGGTATATGGGTACATATACTAGGGAGATGTGTGCTGCTAGGGTTAGCCGAAAATAGAGAGAGAAAACGAATAGCTTTGTTTCGGTGCTTTTGTAGGCAAGTCGAGCTGCTTGCTGGAACACGGGTTTAGTTGTTCTAATATTGGGTGTAACTAGATATTGTTTGGTGTCGAACTAAGAGGTTCTTAGTGTCGTGTAATTCCAGTTAGGCAAGGTCTTGTTGTAAAGATTGTCTAAGTGAATCTAGTTATTGTTTTGAGGACGTAGGCACGTTGCCGAACCTCGTTAATTCTCGTGTGCCTTATCTATCTCTGCTTTTTCAGTAATTACTTTTAATCACGGATTCAAGTTTCTAATCGGGTTTAGCATCCAAATAATTCAATCTTAGCCGTTCAATAATTTTTGTAAATTTAGCTCATTTTTGGTATCTAAATATGAGTATATTCGATCCCTAATAACTGCACATTCAATCATAGATTGCCTAATCCCTCAAAAATCGTAATTACTTATTCTCTTAAATATAATCCTAACTATAACTAACTCTACAATATTCATCATTTATCTAAATATAGCCCCTGTTCTAAAAATCGGCCGCCTAGGCGCTGATCGGAGGAGCACCGCGGCGATTTTGTCCAAATCGGTGAGAAAAATCGGAGATCCGATTTTTTGCCCGCCTGGACCGCCTAGGCGGCCGCCTAGCCCGCCTAGACGGCGCCTAGCCCAATTTTTTTTTTTTTTTTTTTTTACTTTTTTTTTCATCTAAAATTCAAAACGTCCTACTTATGTTCGTAATTTGTATAAAAATCATAAATTTGAAATTAAAATCTTGTTTTCATGTATTTAATACAATTTTAAAAACAATATTACATAAATTACTTAATTATAATGGATTAATATGTTTTTAAAATATTAAATAACCCTAAAACTAATCCCCGATTAATCCCCGTGTAATCCCCGATTTTCTTGCTAGGCGCTAGGCGCACCCTCACCGCCCGACTAGCGCCTAGCGATTTTTTGAACACGGAATATAGCCAATCATTCAATTCTATTCCAAATTCGAATATATATTGTTAATAGTATCTTTAATTTTATGTTTTTTTCTCCAAGATATGATTTATAACACACAGCGGGTGATTTATAACCCACAGCGGGTTAAGCTATTTATTTAGTTTAAAATGATGATGTTCTAAATTTCTATTTATTCTTTTTTGTTCTATTATTTGTTATATAAGAAATTAAATTCATAATGTATGTTTATTAGTCAGTTATTAATAAAATCTTTTTTTCAAATCTTAACAATAATTTTAAATTGTACGTAGATACTTATATATTTATAATCTTATGAATATTCTCAAGATTCAATTTTGTATTTTTGTTATTAACTTTCCAAAATTTTCCAAAAAATAAGGAAATATATTAAAAAAACTTTTCATAAACGAGATTAGATATTATTAAAAATTTATACTCTAATCAATCTAATTAGTTTAAGAAATCTCTATACAAATCTAAATAGTTTCCTACATTTATGTTTTAATGTCGATTTAATATTTTAAATATGTACATATATTATAAATACTATCCAAATGTGATCTTACCAAAAAAGATTGTAATCTTTTAGATTTGATTCAATAATTTATTATATAAGATTATATTTGATTAACCCTAAAATTATAGCCGACTCTCTTAACACTATAAATATAGTACTATGATTGTGTTATTCTCATATCGTTCAAAGTTTCACTGCAAATATAAAGTTTTCTCGGCTCTTCTCAAAAAATGGAAATAATTCATTTTCTTTCAATACATATTCTTTATATCAGAATATGATATAAAGAATATAGTTTCTATGATTTTTTGTTTTTAGTTCTTCTATTCAGTGCTTAGTTTTAGATACTAGGTTTGATTATCATTAAGTCTTAGGTTTGGATGTTGATACCCTTTTAATAATCGTTTTTTTTTTTTTTGTATTAATTTTCTTTTCAATTTTGTTTTATTAAATCTATTCCAATTCTACCATCTTCAATTTATATGTCAAACCCATTCCAATTTTTTTTTTTTTTTCATATAAGGTCTATGAGTGGACAACAATGGCGGGGTGAATGATAAGTCAAAGAGGATATCCGGCTGGAGTTAGGGTTTCAATTTTTAATATTTTCTTTAATTTTGATTTTGTCTCTATTTAAAACTTTATGTTTTTTAGCAATATGTAAAAGTTTAAATATAATAGAAAATTTATCACATAATTATTCTTTCTGCATTTGAAGTTATAAAATAAACAACTTTAAATTTTAATATGTATTTTATTTGACGGGTTATATATACACAGGTTAATTAGCTTATTTTCATTTGAAATATCAGTAAAATCTGAAATCATATAATTTTAATAATAATTCAAACTTATAAAGACTGTAGAAGATAAAAATTCCTGGTCCAAAATTTTTGAATTCACATAACAGTAAAAAATATAAGATCACAATATTCTCTACTGTTAGACACCTCAAAACTATAATACTTTTAACTATATTAAATTTTGATACAAATCCTATACTAATATTTGGGAAGTACATCCTAAGGCTCATAACTTAGATTTTGTAAAAAATTACAATATATGCCATTAGAGATATCTAATTATAAACATTTTATTCCATTTTACTAATATATATTTAACGGGTCAACGGGTTTAAAGATATCAAAAGATTTTTTTTATATAATTTCAATAATTAATATAGTTTAATCTAATTCAATATAATTCGAGAATGTCTTATTCTAATCAATTCGACAATTTAACACAATGATGTTCAATAATCAATTCGAGAGTCATAATTTAACACAATTCGACAATTTAAAAATTTAACACATTGAAAATGTTACTCAAAATGTTATATAGTAATCCATCATTCGAACATGTTATAAAGTGAATTATAAAAATGTTATTGAAATTGTAAACATAAAATGATATATCATTGAAAATATTTTATATCAAGCCAATTTATTAGAAAAAATTTATTATAAAAAATGCTATTCGAAAATGATATATCATTTTAAACGTTTTAATACCGATAATTATAATACTCATATAGCTATTTTACAAGATGAGATTGAAAATGTTAGTAAGATTCGTAATCTTTGATGAAGCTAAACAATATAACTCGAATCCTATATAAACAAACAATAATTTAAGTTACCTAAATCTCTGAAATTACAATATATGCCATTATATAATTCTAATCATAAAATTTATTCCATGTCACTAATATATATAAACGGGTCAACGGGTTTAAAAATATTAAAAGATTTTGTTTATATAATGCATAATTAATTAATATAATTAATTAATACTCCCTCTGTATTTGAATAAATGTCGTTTCAACTGTTTTTGGGTGAATTAAGAAAGGGCACAGAATTACAAAACTAACCTTATGAGAAACGATTATTTACAATTATATTTTATGAAAATCAATTTTTTCTTTTTTGTTGAAACAATTAATACCATCGACGAAGCTTCTTTCAACGTCTCTCACAGTCCCTTTTTCATGTTTTCACACTCTCTCTCACTTCTCTCTCCAATTCTCTCATCAATCTCCGCAAACTGTTCTCATTCATCTCTAGCCCCAATCTGATAATCAAATCCATCTTTCAATCTCTCACACGGAGAAGTCCCAATCCTTCCTCTCACTACAAGAAAACAGGCGATTACCGACTACAGCAGCCGACTATTCATGTAGTCGCCAATTTTAGCGACTATCTTGCTTCTTTTTTACGACTATTATACGACTACAGAAAAGTAGTCGTAACGTAGTCGCCAAAGAGCGACCAAAACCGGTTGTCAGTAATGTAGTCGGTATATAGCGACTATTTACCGACTAATAAGTTGAATATATATATTAGTCGTATATTAGTCGCTATTTTAGCGACTATTTTGGCGACTACAACTTCTGTTAGTCGCTATTTTGGCGACTACAACTTCTGTTAGGCCCAATTGGCCCTGGTTATGTTTGCGAGATTTCTAGAGTTCCTAAACACTTCACTTCTCGAATCCCCTATCTTCTTCATCTCAAACCCTAGCCGATCTTCTCTTCTTCGATTTCATTTGTTTCAAAGTTCTTCTTCGATTTCGAGTTCTTGAACCTCTTCTTCGTATCCTTCTTCTTTGATCTCTTCTTCGGTTTGATCTCTTTCTGCTTCAATCGATCTCAAAAGCTGAATCCTCTTCCTCGCAAACCCTAGATTTCTAAATCTCTCTTAGTTTCTTCTATTTCCTCTTCCTCGCAAACCCTAGAAGCTCCAATCTCTCGCTCTTTAGTCGATTCCTCTTCCTCGCAAACCCTAGATATCAAATCTCCCTCTTTTCTTCGATTTCCCAACAAAGATCTCTCAGTCTCTCTGTGAAACGATGGCTGGAAGAGGAAGATGAAGAGGAAGGAAGAGACATAACACTCCAAACATCGCTCAGAGAGCCACCGGAAGTCCTGGTGGACGACCTAATACTCTATCGGCGCAATACAACTTCACGCCGGCGGTCCAACATCCTCCTCAGCTGCAGACGCCTGAAGTACAACCTCCTGTTTTGCCAGTGCAGTCGAGGACAGCCCATCTCCGGAACTATCCACCGCCACAACAACTTTTCCAGCACTCTTTCACTCCACAACGTGAACCTCAAGTAGGAAGGACGCCTTCAGAAGAAGTACTCCAGAACAATCAACAGCCTCCAGCCACTTCTCAGCAAGCTGCTCCGATTCTTGAGCAGGAGGCTCCGCCTTCTCCGCCCCATAACTCTCAGACTCACAGTCAGCCATCGTCTCAAGGCAACAACTTCGTGGAGTTTCCTCCGGTGTTGCCGGAACTCCAGGAAGACTCACTACAGGCTCTCAACGACCTACTTGCGGTGCCTGGCAGGGAAAATTACATTACCGTCCTCAATCCCGAGCCCATAGACAAAACTTCATGGTATGATCTTCTTGCTTGTGTTGTTTGTTGTAATGAGTTATGTATTTTGGTGATGACAAGTGATGAGATGACAAGTGATGCATTTTGTTCTCTGATGGGTTATGCATTTTGATGAGGATTAGTTGAAACCCTAAAATTGTTTGTTCTGTATGCTTATTGTATTGGTGTCTCTGTTTTGATATGAATCACTTAATTGTTTTGCTATGAATTATTTAATTTGTTTTATGCGTATTGTAATGGTGTAATGGTGTCTCTGTTTTGCTTTGAATCACTTAATTGTTTCTTTATTAAGTGTCTCCGACTGTTTATTCTTTCATGTGTATCTCTGCTGACTTGTAGACTAATGGTGTGACTGTGCTGACTTGTAGACTAATGGTGTGACTGTGTTGTAAGAGTTGTGGTCTGATGGCTTATGAGTTTTGTTGAACTAAGAGTCTGAATTATGACTTGTGCTTTTCTTATGCGTATTGTAATTGTTTCTCTGTTTTTGCCTTTGTATTATCTGCTTGTTGATTTATTAATTGCATCTCACTGTTTGTTTTTCTTGTGTATCGAGGTTTACCCGAGACACGGGATCGAGACTTGTTCGGAAGATAACCAAGGTTTTTACAAACAAATTTGATGGTCCATTCTACAGCTGGACATGTGTGCCTCGTGATAAACAAGAGAGATACTTCCTCGAGTTTGCGGTAAAGTTTGCTGTCCTATAGTTCTTCAATATGTTTGCCTGTCCTCTGTTCACTAATATAACAGTAGCTTTTTTTTTTGTAGAAAACCCACACCTGGGATCCTTTGATAACAGGGACTGTCCAATATTTTTTTGAGCTCATCTGTTTAAAGCGGATGAAAGACATGGTTAGTGGTGTAAGGACTAGTCGTGAGAAACCTTCTTGGATAGGAACGACCCTCTGGAAAACAATGACTGATTTCTGGGACACTGAGGAAGCACAGGCAAAGAGTCTCACCTACTCAAAGGTCCGTAATTCTGACCGTAACGGTCTCGGTCCCCACAAACACTTCTCAGGGCCTAAGTCATTTCAGCAAGTTGAAGCTGAACTGGTGAGTCTACTTTCTGTCTTTGCCACTTTTTATTCTGACCTATCACTTCTTATTAACCCTTGTTTACTTGGTTATATTGCAGGAAGAGGAATTGGGAAGACTAGTCTTAGTGAAGTTTTCATCAAGACACATACGAGGCCTGATGGTACCTTTGTTGATCTGAAGGCGGAGAAGATTGCAAGGACATACGAGAAGAATGTGCAAGAGAGGTTGTCTGAGCTCGAGGCAGATACTTCTGCTGTTTCAGATGGCGCTTCACGGCCACGGGAGCTCACAGCTGAAGAACGCACACTAATATTTCTGCAGGTGACGTTTTATTTTTCCCAGAATGCATACTAATATTTCTGCAGGTGACGTTTTATTTTTCCCAATACACATTTATAGTCTTGGAGTTAAATTTTTCATGTGTTAATCTCTGGTTTTATCTTAATTTGCAGTCCACTGACAGGGATTCAAGAGGTAATCCTTATGGAGTAGGAAGCCTCAAGGATTCTACTGTCAATGGCAAGCGGAAGCATCCAGGTGACTCCTCTTCCTTTCGGAGCCTGCAAGAACAATTGAAGGAAGCACAACAAAAGATAGAAGAGCAGGCTGCGCGTGAAGCTCAGCAGAAGGACAAGCTCGACAACTTCTCCATGGTGGAGAAGTATTTGCGCCAAACTGATCCTCAGTTCCTGAATTGGATCGCAAATCATTCAGCTCAAGAGACTGCCACAGCCCCTCTCTCAACCTCTCAATCTCAAAATAATCAAGCTACATCTCCATCACCATCTGGTGAATAGGTTTCTGTTTCTTCCCCCAAGAACTTGGTTTAACTTTTCAGATTCTGTAGACTTGAACATGTGTTTTGTTTGGTTTTAAGTTTGGTATGAACTTGTTGAAGTCAGACTTGTTGTATAAGTACTGTTCTTTTGGTATTTGGTATTATATTATATATGTATTGTTCTTTTGGTATTTGGATTTGTTTTTGGTTTTGTTTATTAGAATTACAATTAGGAACAAAACGTTTTACAAATGGGCTTTTTTTTTCATAATTACACAGTAGTCGCCAAATCGTCGCCAATAAGTCACCAATAATAACGACTAATGACATTCGCAATCGCTTCATAGTCGGTAAACATAGTCGCTTATTAGTCACTAATTTTTAACGACTATTTACGACTACACGAAATGACACTGGCCTAAAGCATATTAATCGGAACAAAGTCGTCTATTAGTCGCTAAAAGTTACGACTACGTAACGACTATGTTACGATTACATATTTGTAGTCGTTAAATAGTTGCTTTTTGGCGACTATTTAACGACTACAGTATTTAGCGACTCTCGATTACCGACTACAATTAATAGTCGTTAGTTAGTCGTATAATTACATTTAGCGACTAATTGCCGACTAATAAAGTAGTCGTTAATGAGCTGTTTTCTTGTAGTGTCTACGACGGCGGCGCTTCCACCGTGCTCTTCCTCCTCCTCCGCCGCCGACGCTTCAACTGAGGTTCGTCGGAACCGCTACAAAGTAGCGGTGGATGCAGAAGAAGGAAGACGGAGGAGAGAGGACAACATGGTTGAGAAAAGTAAGCGTGAAGAAAGCTTACTTTTAGAAGCGTCCTGAAGGTCTTCAAGCTAATCAGCTACCTCAATTCTCTCCTTCTTTTGTTCCTGCTTCATCAACTGTTGAGAAGAAGGTAAATTAGTAGGGATCTGGAACTGATTCTAGGGTTTGTGTTGTGTTCTCTGATTTGGAGCTAATTAGATCGATTTTGATTTTGGTTTTGGCAAGTTGGAGAGTTTGCCTTCAATGGTTGGTGGTGTTTGGTCAGATGATAGAAGTTTACAGCTTGAAGCAACTACTCACTTCCGGAAGTTGCTTTCTATTGGTAATTTTTTTATTTGTGTTTTTTTAAGTTTGCTTTCGATTTGGGAATTTCTTGAAATGAATCTGATATAACCATGAGGAATCCTCGATCTCGTTAGCATGATGTGGTTCTTCTTCTTCATTGTTTGGTATCTTCTCTTCGAAATCATGAACAGATTTGGGATTGACTTCAGGTTCAATTTTGATTTCCTTGTTCACTTCTAGGTCATCTTCCATGGGGAGTTTGTTGAGGTCGAAAGCATATTCCATGGGGAGTTCGTTGAGGTCGAAAGCATGCACCACTTTGATGATTTTATTTGTTTCATCTTGTTCTGCTTTTAGGGTTTTTTCTGTGTGATTTTCCATTTTTTGTTTGCTTTGAACAACAGAGACAATATTTATAATTCTACGTGTTGAATGTTTTTCTGGAATTTTTATTTTACAAACGATTCGTATCTGTAGTTTTGGTAATTTAGACGGATTAATTATGATCAATTAATTGGGGGGTAATTTAGGAAATTTTATGCAAAAGTTGTTAAAATGACAACTAATTAAAAACACAAAAAAAGGCTAGAACGACATTTATTCAAATACGGAGGGAGTATTAAGAATATATATCATATGGAAACTATTAAAACCTCTAAATCGTTTTAATATCTAAATTAGTTAATAAATTATCCAAAACTGATATTAAAAATAATAATTTCAATTTGTTTAAAAAAAAATTTACAAATCAAACAATCTTCTATATTTAAACAATCGTTGGAATACTAATTATTTTTGAAAACCATAAAATCTAATATATTTTGGAGTAACTCCAAAATAGTCAAAATTATAATATATTTTTTTTTGTGAAAAAATCAAAATTATAAATAACAATTAGAAATATTTGGAGATATTCAAAATAAATACAAAATCTATGAATATCTAATATTCCTAATAACAAAAATAATCTTTGAGATTTTTTTTCCATATTCTACTAACCACTTGCTAAATATTAGTATATATTAAATATATCATTTTATTTACAAAATTGAAATTCATATCCCGTATTTTAAGCAACTATAACACACACAAATCAAAACAGTCAACAAAATATTCTGATTTTCTTAAAATATAGTTATCATTAACTATACAAATCTCAAATATTGTGGAAAATTGTTAACCACGTGATTTAAAATTTGTCATAATTTCAATTAGTTAATGATAATTCCATATTCTACATCTATAGTTAGTTTTGCGATCTTAACCAAAAATATTTTAAACAACTTTAGCAATTACAATAGATACGTCATAAATGATTTAGAATATTTCTTTGGATCAAGCATATTCTTTTTTATGTCATCTTTAGGCCTATAAATATTGGAACAAAACAAAAGAGTATCAAGCCTAGGTTTTCGGTGCATAACATGTATCTTTACTTTTGTTTTTGCGTTTCCATTCTTCCATTTTAGTTTATAATAATGGCTAATGTATGTATTCTTTTCTTTTACTTGGTTTGTTGAATTTGTTGGTTTTATTTTTTATTAAGTTTGGTCACTAATTTTGCATGACACATCCTTTGGTCACTAATTTTTATTGAATCATAAATTTTGGGATGGTTAAAACTAATCTACGAATCAAAATTCTTACAGATTCATGGAGGATTAAGGTGACAATTTTCAGAGCATGGAAGCCACAAAATAATTTGTGAGAAATGATGGAGTTAATTCTCCTTATATTCAAAGGTTAATCCTACTTTACATCATTTTTGTTATAATAGTTTAAGTTTTTAATTTATATTTTGTTTCATATATATCACATAATATTTTCTTTTATGTGTTTCCTTCTCAGCCGTGAATCTTTAATGCTACATCATCTTTTCAGAGGGGCATGACAAAGGTTTATCCTACTTCTCATCTTAAGAATTTTTAATTGTGAATCATAGATATATGTTTTAAATTGTGAATCATAGATAAGGTTAATAGATATATGTTTTTTCTTCATCGATAACTTTATTGTTATCGCATGATTTCGTAATCTTTCCTACAATTCTATCATTAATTGTGAATCATATAATCCAACCTGTTTAATCATCTTAGGGCTTCAGACAACAACGTCACCATCTCAAACCGCAAGGTGTCTTCGTCCGAAGATCATGGTTAATTTGGTGGTGTATTTGAAGAGTTCGGTTACGTCTTTCGTGGTTCCCACGAAACTTTTTTCAATTTGGGATCATGTGTTGCTTCCAAGGTTTGTAAGGATGTTGTTGTTTCGGATTCTTCTCTGCTCGATCCTTTCATGTTAGGGTTTTACTGCGGCAATTATTTTCCGGTAGATCCAATTTCGGTCACAGATAAATTGGGGGCTTTGTGGCAACGATGGTGCTTGGGATCTTTCTTGGATGCCGGTGCTTGGGATCTTTCTTGGATGAATTTGGAGTTTTCCTCAAGACTATTTAGTGGATACGATCAACTTCTGGGAGCCACCGATTCTTTTACGGCGGGCATTTACCAAACATCGGCCACATATAATTTAGGTTTCGTCTTCTAGATTATGATTTTCAGGGTATGATGATAACTATTAACTAGGTTTTGAAATCTATGTAATTCATGGTGATTAATCATTATAGTATCTTAACTTTGTTTTACGTTTTGCTCCAATGCAAATCCATGTTTGTAAAAGTTGTAAAGTAGATTTTAGAAGGAAAAAATATTTGTTTTTGTTTCTATAATAAATCGTCGATTGAAAAGGTAATAAATCAAATACTCCTAATTATTAGCATTTCATTAACTAACAACTTATTTTTTAAAAAGATTTTTAAAGATAATGAATACAATTTATTGGTGTTTCCTACAATTCTTATTCATAATATTCAAAAAAACGTTTACATATATCCCAACTAAATACCACTCTTAATTCTTAAAAAGGGAATATGCAACCTTTAAATAATGGGAGGCGATAATGGTGACTGCCAACTTAAACGGCTTCTTTACTAGATCAAAATGAATTGCATTCTTTCAAAATATATTAAGGCAAAATAAAGGTATACTTTTTCTTAATATAATAAAGCTTCGTGATTAAAAATTTAGATTTGATGCAAAAACGAAGTTTTAAGATTGGCCAATTCGAGCAAGTCTTACATGAGTCTTAGATAAAATCATCAATACTTTTTCTTAGATAAATATAAACAACATTAAATGGTTGAGTTTAGCCGAGTGCAATCTTATATATTGTTGATTTAATTAACCAAAATCTTGCCTAAATCTAATTCGGTTAGAGTATTTAAATAATCTAAATTTAAATTAAGGAAAACATAGTTTTCGGATTTAAATAGCATGATATATATATATATATATATATATATATATAGTTTATTTAAAATTGTGAATCTTGATTTCAATATTTATAGTTATTATAATTTTTAATTTAGGAAATAAATATGTGTTAATTTAATATTAAGCCCATAGTTAAATCTCTATAACATCGGTAAGATTTTAAACTTTTAATTGACAAATTATTTTAGTAATAAATTTCGTTTACTTAGTTGGAAATATTTTAATAACCTCAAATCTTCTCCATATCAGGAAAATAAATCGAAACAATTTAAAGAAGGTTTATGATTTTATGATCACAATAAGAAACTAAAGAATATTCTAAAGTTTGTTTAGTTGGAAAAAAGAAACTACCAATTATTTAGTGATTTCGAATATATTTCATTTTCTTGATCTTCAAGATATTTTATGATTAAAATATTCTATACTAATATTTGGAAAGTACATCCTAAGGATCATAACGTTGATTTTGTAAGAAGTTACAATATATGCCATTAGAGAATTATAATCATAATCATTTTTTCCATGTCACTAATATATATTAACGGGTCAACGGGTCAACGGGTCAAATGGGTTTAAAGATATTAAACAGATTTTGTTTATATATAATCCGAATTCATAAAAAAATTTTTATATAATTCGAATTTATAAAAAAAATGTTATAAAACAAAATATACAATTTAATTCATAAAAAATATTAAACCCCATACTTAACATAAAATCATATATGTCGCATCTTCTTCTCCCACAACTCATTTCATCGACAACCTCATTTTTGTGAATCTCATTCAGTTTTGCAATCAGATCGGGAATTTTTCATTGTTTCTTAAATCGATTCAATCATCAATCAACTCATGAACTTAATTAATCAATTTCTGTAACTTATAAACAAAATCTTTCGGTTTTAACTTTACCTTTGATCACCACGCCGCTACTTCAATTACTCGAAAGATATGAACGGATTGGACAAGATCTTCAATCTTTGTCGTGTCTGAGGTCGAAATTGAAAGAAATTTGGGTAGAATTCGACATTAGTTTTCTGGGATTAACTGGGATCCGAGTAACTGTCGGAACTTTGGACGTTTGCCAAACTATTTTTTTGTGTTTTTCTTCTTTATTTTTTTTTTAAAAAAACAACAAACAAACTGAGCCAAAATAAACCCATAAATAGCCCACTAAACATCTCAGCCCCAATACAACAATTTATTTTTTTTCTAATTATCAATTACTACTTAAACTAATTAAATTGTTAATTTCATTAAACAAAATACAAATCTAATGCAGCTAAATATATTCAACTCTAAAATACAATATACTACATCATTTTATTATCAATTCATGTTTTCAACCAAATTAAAATACACAATATTTAATAAATATAATAAAACTATCCAAATATTGTTTTAAAAATAAATCTAAAATACATTGTATAATATTATTTATTTATAAAAACAAAATAAACAATTATTGTCAAATAAATACTATACAACATAATATCCAAATAGTAATAAACATAAAATTATATGATTTATTCCCTTTTATACTAAACTATGACACTATATTAGATCTTACATATTTCATATTAAATGAACAATATAATTCAAAAAAAATATAAAATCCCGTGCTGTATAGCACGGGTCATGATCTAGTATATTAAATAATACACATGTTTAACCACATTAAAACACATTCTCCTATTTGAAAATTTAACAACCACCAAAAAAAACATATGTTATAATTATAAATTATCAAATACTTAATAGGAAAACCGAATAAAACCGATACCCGCGGTGTACCGCAGGTTGGATAAATTTTATACTCTTTGTTATGCAAAAAAAAAAATATGTATAGAATTCCATATAGTAAAAGAACACTTACAATGACAAAAACAATTACACCACTTTTACTCTTTCACATTTTAATAACTACTTTACCTATATTAAAATGTCATACACATTTTTAAACACATTAAAACACATTCTTCTAATCACTAAATAACAACCAACCAATATAAAATCCCAATCATTATTTATATAGGATTAAAATAAATTTTTTTTTTTATAAATTATGTATATAAAACATAATCAAATCCCTTATAAGAAAACCGCATAAAACCGAGGCCCGCGGTGAACCGCGGGTTGAATACTAGTAATGATATAAATGGCTAACGTATTCAATTATCAAATCTTAACAGCAATGAGTTCAAATAAAGAACATGACTTGGGCACCGTAAGCACAACACCACACCACTCAATCTTCCCATAAATCTTGTGTGCATTCCGTCTTTCAAGCGCAATCTCAGCACACCAAATCATCCTCTTCTTAGAGCCGCTAGCATGCACTTCTTCTCCCATAAAACCGCAATCTTTCCACTATAATCTACCAATCTAACATGACTGGGATGCTTTGGTAATTTAGGAAGTTCTTTCAAACCCATCAAAGATCTCCACGTTCGTTCCTCGGAGTCGTACCTTAGGAGTGTTCTTGAAAATGCCATATAGCATACATTATCTATCACGCAAGAAGAATAATAGGTAACCAACAACAAAAGCATATCCAATCCGACCGCATTCCATCTATTTTCCTTAGGCTTGTTAACTACATTTTTATCCCCAAACAGGTAAAGCTTTCCGTCATAGACTAAACTTCCTGATATATACCTCCCACGTATCTCCGCGATAGGGCTTGGCACATGCTCCCATATTTTGGTTTTGGAATCGAAACACTCGATCATATTCGAGTATTAATCATAAACTTTCCAGCCTTCCACTACATATATTTTTCCATCAAGAACATTCACGAGGTGGCACTTTCGAACTACCCGCATGCTTGGAGCTTCGTGCCAGATGTGAGACCGACAATCCAAGAGGAAGACCCTAGACGAGAGCACACCATTTATGTTTCCGCCAATCATGTAGATATAAGAACCAATTGTGGTACAAGTCAACCCAAACCGAGGACGATAATTGCTAGTTGGGGCTGAGACCATAACATTTTCACTTAACTTCTCTTCTTCCTTGCTAGTGCGATTTGTAAGGATTGGTCTAAAGCAGGATGTGAACCATCGTGAGTTGAAGTTAGGGTTAGGGTTAGGGGTTCGAGTTGGTCTTCGGCTTAGAGTGAACCAACGTGGTTAGATACATAACCGAAACGTAAGCACAGATAAAGACAATTCTCGGTGCATCCTAAGAGCCAGGGCCGGCCCAATGTAATTACATGCCCAAAGCAGGGAATTTTTTTTTTTGTCCCAACTAACACATAAATGTAAAAAAATCACAAAAACTACTAATGAAGATTCGAACTCGAGACATGTTGCCTACTAAAACAAGGCTCTGCCGCTACACCACATTCATTTTTTCGGTAAGTGATGCCCTAAAATTAATGATATATTTTTGGCGCCTAAAGCACAAGCTTCAATTGCTTTAGCTCAGGGCCGGGCCTGCTAAGAGCGTTCGGATCTTGTAAAGCTCAAGTGATGCAACAAGAGAGCGGAATCTCTTGGAAACTAAGGAGAGAATCGGGCAGTACAATCTCGAGACACGGGCTAAGATGTTCAATAGTAAATCATCAGGAAGGTAAGGCATATTAACCGGTGACGGACATGGACTCTTTGCCGTTCATCATAAATTATCAGGAAACACTAAGAATGTAATCAAACTCCAAGAGTAGCTACTAAAATTATGTTGGCTGGACTAAAATATGTGAAAATACTTTTATGCAATGATCAAATGTCGAATCAAACCGAATTTGAATATATAATAAATGAACCAAAGATTCAAAAAAATTGTGTTAGAGTTATAATGTACGTGAGGATGTGTCTTTAGTTAAGTGGTTAATTCTGTTTGACTTTGCCTTTCCACCGGATTTTGACTCTACTAAATCGCGTTACCCCGCATAGTATTGATTGACTATGGATCAAGACTTGTCGATCCAAAGATGTAAAAAAAAAAGAATTAAAAAGTATGTTTGATTTTTTTTTGTTTTCTGATTTAATTACGTTCGATTTATGCATGGACATGACATCAAAGTGAATGAATCTAAGGGTGACCATTAATATTTTGATATTTTTCTTGTATTAATAAATAGATTTTAGTTTTTGTCATAATTTTCTTAATATTTTTCATTCTACTGGATTTTAACTTGAATGGTAATAAAACGACGGTAGTAATAGTCCTTAATGCATGCCTAATTAACCACTACATTAGAAAATGATTCTGAACAAACCAGACTTGTTTTATACTTTCGATGTAATAGTTGGAAACTGCTAATATAGATCTGGAAATTACACTAATTAATACGTTTACATTAAAATAAAATAAAAATTTGTTGTAAATCTAATAATTTTGACGTCCATACACATACACACACGTGAGAGGCAAAAACTGTATCTCAGCCGCAAGAATCTCGTCTCCTGTTTTATTACAAGGTCAACTTCTGGTCTCTCTCTTCAACTTATTAATCTTCACTTAATTTATAAAAATCTAACTATTTATTAGATTCTGATTTCAAATCTAAAAACAATAAAATAACTCCACAAACGTAACTTCAAAAATTCAAAAAAAAAATAAATATCTAAAAACCTCGGTTTTATGATCACACACCTCACATAGAAGCTTCTTTCTACTTCACTATAAAATCTAACTCTGATCATCACTTAAACTCATACCATCTCACGTGTTCTTAGATTTTCAACAATGGCGTCGGCGATCAGTTCCTCTGACCATCGTCTATCGACAAGCAAGAGACGTTTGAAGCCATTGATGCTAAGAGATTACTTACTCGATGATCTCAGTTCTTGTTCATCCAACGGCTTCAAATCATTCCCACGTCGTCAAACTCCCTCTTCATCTTCCACCGTTCGTCGTCTTCTTGACGCCGAGATCAAACGGTCAGGATTGATCCATCATCATCATCATCACAACAAACAACAACGTCTCACCAGAAGATCAAGCCGTACAACTTGTGGAACGGCGATAAGTCACGCCGTTCATAAAGCTTCGACGGCGTTTCTCAAACTTTTGCCGTTCCCTTCTCCCGCCGTTAAAAAACAAGGCGTTTTCTCTAGAAGCTTCTCTAAACGGCTTTTAAGTAGAAGCTTCTGGAGAAAACCCGTCGTTAGTCTATCTCGCCGTGATGTAACCGGAGATGGAGACGGAGAGATCCAATGGTGGAGATCCGTCGCGTACGAAGAGAGCTTAGATCAACGGTCGGATCTAATCTCTCAACTCTCCACCACCGACGACAAAATAACATTTTCAATCTCAGCCGCTGCGATCACCACCGTGGAGGAGTTAATCTCCGGTGAGTCTTCGAGTTCCGGCAGCGAGTTTTTCACAAATTCATCATCGGAGGTTGTGCAGTCTTCTTCTTCATCGTTCTCTTCTTCGTCGAGCGGTGAATCTGAGGAAGTCTCGAAGAAAAACGACGCCGTGGAAGACGGGAATGAGAGCGGAGAGAGATTAAACGCACGTGACTGTGACGGATCATCTGTCAACGGCAACAACAGCCTGTGTAACAGAAAGGTTAGTTAGTTAAAAGCTCGTTTTCAATCTTTATTACAACTGTCACAGGTGTTGAAAGCATTTGGTTTTGTCTTTTCGTAAATTAAAATTTTTTAAAAATTTGAAGAGATATTGAAACTTGTCGGGGAAAGTGTGCGAGTCACGTGAGGTGTGGGATTTAGATTTTGATGGTTACGATTCTTCTACGTAGCTTCTAATGCGTATTATACGGCACATGATCCCGCGAAAGATTTTTTTTTTGTTCCATGGTACTTGACGACGTACCAAGTTATTTTACTCACGATTTCAATTATCGTACACATTTTAAATAGAATTTTAAATATATTTTAGTTAGATTAGATACGCATATCTTCACACATTTATACGTAGTAGTACTTTTAACATTATAATTAAGAGTTAATTTTATATTATCACCCATGTTCATGGAATTTTTATAAAGTAATGAAATCCTTGATGATTTTATTCTTGGATTTGTATAAGAAATATTTTCAAATAACAAAGTAATTAACACTACATAATCTCAATCAAAACAAAAGTGAAGATACGATCATTAATTAGATAGGGGCAGAGACAGATAGATAGATAAATGATGTTGTCATGGAGTTGGCTGACTTTTGTCAACTTATTAATGTCACTATTATTTCTCATATCATTATTTTTTGTTTTTGTTGTGACCCCTTTTAGTTTAGTTATTCTTTGTGGTGTATTGTGTGATTACATAAGAAACAGATTTGATATTATTATTTGCAATTTTTAGGAATGTGTGAATGAAGAGAAAGAACAACTCAGTCCAGTATCAATCTTAGAATGTCCTTTTAAAGACAATGGAAGTGATGATGAAGACGATGAGAACACTGATCAAAATGGTAATTTTATCAATGGCCTCCTCATCGATATTTAGCTAGGAAAATGTGAATTTGTAACTAACTTTATAAGCTAATATTTGCAGGTATACATGAGAAAATTGCAAGAAAAAGCAGGAGATTAAATGGTTTGGTACGGCTTGAGCCACTAGACTTGGATAAACGCATAAAGGAGTATGTAGAGAGACAAGAAGAGTACTCATTTCACAAGCTAGAGACCGAAGAGGACGAATCAGAAAACCAAGCAAACCGCTTGTTTGCTCTTGTGAAATTGAGAATCGGCGAAACAAATGACCTACTAGCTTCCAAAGTAGCGGATAATCTATTGTTAGATTATCTTCAAGAAGATAATATTGGGCCAAAAGAGGAGACATTAATGGTGAAGAAAGCAGAAGATTGGGTTATGGGTAGACAAGATGAGATGTTTATGAGTTGGGAAGTGAAAGAGAAGAGAGAGGTTTATGTGAAGGAAATGAAGTGGGGTTGCATTAAAGGAGATGAGAGAGAGAATGTGGTTGAAGAGTTGGCTAATGGTTTCTTCACTTCCTTTGTGGATGAATTCATCTTCGACTTAGTGTTGTGATAAAGTTATGGTTTTTGATCGGGAGTGAAGATTTTGACATGTCGTTAAAAATTAGATCATAATGTAGTAGATATATGTTATCTCAATAAAACTATATGTAGTTTGGCATAAGGGTAATGATTCGTAAAAATTAAACTTATGTAGGTCACATGTTCGTTTTTCATTGTTAAGTCTAGAATGAGAGTTAAGAGTCCATAATCATTATGTGTTGTTTGTTCTTCTAACTCTTAATTTGAAATCTGAGTTTCTTTATGGTTTAATTTTCGAATTCTAAATCAAATTCATTAGCCAAAAGAGGTTGAATACATTAACAATTGGGTGTTCTCTGTATAATGTAGGTAGTGACCCATATTCTAGCATCTAAAACGTTTAATTGGAGTTTAAGTTATTCTATACGCGATAGATGTTTATAACATAATCCAAAATAGTAAATATATAATCTAATTATTTGAGATTATTTTCGGAACTAGTCAATTGGTTGTGTTTTTCGGAAAACATCTGGATTTTAGTGAACCAAATAGGAGAAATTCGGTCGTGAACAAAACTCCGTCTTTATGATGCGATACCTTGGTGCACCTTTTATTTGTTGGGAAGAAGCGTTTGCGAGGCACATCACATGGTAAAAATATGAATCTATTTATATTGATTGACAAAGAGGATTGATTAGTTAGGAATTGACTTCTAAAAAGTCTAAACAATAACTTTTAAAGTAGAACACTAGGTTCAGAATCCGCGCTACGCGCGGGTCTATTTTTAGTAATATTTTGTGTCACTAATAATATTTATTAAAAATATGGAAATATATGTTTTTATTTCTCTACTTATTGTTAATAGTTTCTTGAATTTTAAAATTAGCAGATAGTTTAATTCAATACACCACTAACAAAACTCTAATACAACTTTTAGGATTTTACAACATTTATCAAAAGAATATTATTTTTTGTTTAATTTCTCTCCTTAGCTATTTTGGATGACCGCTTAGCTATTTTGGATGATCGGATCTTTTCACATACAATATTTTGATTGAATATCATGAAATAAATTGCTGTATAAAGACTAACTTCGTCAACTTTCTCATTTTTGGTATGCGCAAATTTACTATTGTTTTTTATCTATCTCACTGCATTAGTTAGTATAGCTCTATATTTTTTTAAAAACAACTCATATTTTTCAAAAGAAAAAAAACAACTCATATTTTTCTCACATTCTTTTCAATATGTATATGAATTTTCGTCTTCACAATATTTTTTCGAAAGCTATCACTAATTTTGTCTTTTTGCAAGCACTTATTCCCTTTTATTTCTTGGGAAGAAGCGTTTGCGAGACACATCACATGGTAAAAATATGAATCTATTTATATTGATTGACAAAGAGGATTGATTAGTTAGGACTTAGGAGTTGACTTCTAAAAAGTCTAAACAATAACTTTTAAAGTAGAACATTTACATTATATAATGAATAATTAATAATAAAAAATTGAATAGTTGCAATTTTCTAATTTTATATATCTTTATGATCATTTCATCATTTGGCTATTTTTAATTTGATACATCGGACATAACAACAAACCTAGCTATGTAATTGGAAAAACCAATTGTCCAGTGCCCTGATATTTTTTTTTTCTTACCAGAATCGGATTTGTTAGTACATGTCAATCAAAGTGTTTCAGCATCTCCAGCTTAACATAAAAAATGAGTGTGTTTTATAGTGTCAGACAAATCCACGTGAACCTTTGCCTCTATAAAATCACCCAAAAATAGAAATTATTTTTGCAAACAAAAAAAAAGGAAAAAATAGTTTAGTGATTTTTTTTTTTGGTGATTAAAAAATGCTTAGTAGATTTATAGGGAAAAGGGTATTTTTATACCCGTATAATCTGCAAAGTATGTTTCCGACATAAACAATTACATATGATTAATTCATACCCAAACTCCAAACAAATTTAAATTTTATACCTAAACTTTATATTTAGTGTCTAATTTGTCCTAATTAACGGGTGTTAGTCAAGTATTAGGGTTGTTGAGTTAAATAACATGTATTTGCTATAAACAATGTCATTTTAAGTGTCAGTTAAAATTTTGTTAAATTTTGCAAAAATCGGGTTTCATCAAAACCATAATGTTTCACTCATTTGCGTAGTCCATTAGTATTTGATCCACGGCTATAGTAAAACGTTATGGGTTCGAGATCCGATTTTTGTTAAATTTTATAAAACTTTAACTTCAACGTTTAAAACGACGTTATTTTAAGTCACGTCATAAAACATATGTCATCTGCTTCAACAACTGTAACGGCTGACTAACATCTATAATTACGACTTTGAATTAGACACTAAATATAAAGTTTAGGTATAATTTTTTTTTTTGAGGTTTGGATATGAATTAATCCTACATATGTTCAAATCGAAAAACACATTTTACATTTTTTAGATTGTACATGTATGAAAATATCATTTTCCCATCTATGGGGTGATGAAGTTTTCCACAATTGAAAAAAAAAGAAGGAAGAAGCATCTTTTCCATTATTTTTCAGCTTAAAAAAAAAAAGCATCTAAAAAGAAGTATTCTTTTGTTCTCCTCTTTATAAAGTTTGTATTTTTTTAAAAAGATTTGAAGAAAGACACAATAAACCCTAAATAATATTTACCCCTTTTAGTAGCTGCCTCTCTTTTCTTCTTCCGATTCTCCTTCCGCCGCGACTGAGTTATAATCATGAGAGGAGTTAAACGCGCCGCCGTCTCCGAATCAAACGAATCTTCCGTGAGTTTTCTTTCTTTGCGTTCGTGGTTTCGTTGATTGAATCTCGTGAAGAATTCTGTATTGTATCGATTCTCTGTTTCGAGGGTAGAAGATAAAAATTGACACTTTGGGGTATTTCTTGGTGGGTGATTGATGATTGGTTTAGCTAGTTTTCTATAGATTTTGGCTGATTATGAATAAAGTCGGCAACTTTTTAATGTAACAAGTTGTGGGCATTGTCCTTATTGGTATGGAACTATAAGATTTAGCTCAAGGTCTTTGCTTTAGACCCATTACCGAGTTAGTATGATGATTGGTTTAGCTAGTTTCTACAGATTTTGAGTGATTATCGAATAAAGTCGACAACTTTTTTATGTAACAAGTTGTGGGCATTGTTCATAAATGGTATGGAACTATAGGATTGAGCTCAAGGTCTTTGCTTTAGACCCATTACCAGTTAGTTTGATGATTTGTTTAGCTAGTTTCTATAGATTTTGGCTGATTATGAATAAAGTCGGCAACTTTTTAATGTAACAAGTTGTGGGCATTGTCTTTATTGGTATGGAACTATAAGATTTAGCTCAAGGTCTTTGCTTTATATCCGTTACTGGGTTCAATTTTGAGCAATTTGATTTCGAATTGATTCTATTAGCTGCTTTTGTTTTGCTTTTGGAATTAATTTCGAAAGGGAATGTTGCAGTTTAAGAATGCAAAACCAGTGGAAGGAATCTTATTTGGTAACCAGAAGAATCTAGCACTGATCCAACAGAGTCTATTAACACCAGCATCATTGGATAAACAGAGAGCTGAGTTAGCTAGGAAGCATGTGAGAGCTCTTAATAACCAATTTGTAAGGTGAACAATTGTGTTTTTGAAAAAAAGATTATCTTTGCGCTTGTTGGATATTTTATGTAGTTTATGAAAACATTTTTAACTTGTTTTGTTTATATAACTTCAATAAGAAATTGCTTATGCTTTAATGTGAAAACAGTTGGGTGCAGTTACAGCTGAAGAATCATCCTGATGAACTTTGGGAAGATGGGATGAATGACTATATTGCTCATGCGTCAAACATTCTGGTACATACTCTAATTACATGACTCTTCCTCTTAACGTTTAGTAATGTACTTGGTTTTTCCTGTATTTAGAGGTCTCGTTTTCTCAAAATGAAAAAATTTGTTTAAGTAGGATGGTTTTGATTTGACTCAACAAGAATGATAACTCTTCGTGTCTCTTACTTGTTTTGTGCTAGACCTTTTGTTTAGTACTCTAGCTCATCAGTTTTCGAATTCATGTTAAATCTCGTGCAGGAAAAGTTTAAGGATGTGGTCAACTGGCTAAAAGAAAATAAGGGAAAGGGGGAGAATGTATCCCCTGAATCTCGTGGAGCAGAGAAGAAATTAGTGGCTGAAGTCAAGAATAGTGATGTTAAGTCAGTTTCAAATAATAGCCTATTTGGTTCAAACAGTCAACCTGGGCACTTCTCAAACAATCAATCTTCCAATTTTTCCAGTAGTCACTCTGGTTTCTTTTCAAGCCAACCTGGAGCATTCTCCAGCAGTCCTTCTGGTTTAACATCTAATAGCCAGACTGGATCTTTTAGCAGTGGCCAGTTTGGTACAAAAAGCAGCCAACCTGGAGCATTCTCCAACAATCCTTCTGGTTTAACATCTAATAGCCAGACTGGATCTTTTAGCAGTGGCCAGTTTGGTTTAAAAAGCAGCCAACCAATTCTATCTTCCGGCAGTCAAGCAGGAGCAATATCTAATAGCCAACCTTCTTATCAATTTTCTAATAATCAACCCCCTTTTACATCTGGAGGTATCTACTTTTCCATTAGCAGAATACATTTATTGGACTTGTCATTGACCAGCTTTGTATCTTTAGGACAATAGTTCAAGAGACTAACCTCTACTTTCCTTGTTTGCTGGTATTAGTAACTCCAGTGTCCATACCGGCAAAGCGGGATTCCACAGATGATGCGGACGGTGAGTTGATCATATACTGTTTTCTTCCTATTTGTTTTCGTGTTTCTTTGAAAGGTTATAATTGGAATACCACTTAAATATTTTTCAACCCACGATCTTGAATCCTTGATCTACTTATCGATTATGAAGTTTGACTTACCTAGAGGAAATTATCTATTACAAATCTTGAGGCATAATGGACTTGTAAACATTGGATTCTTTGGACTCTGCAGAAGATGAACAACCTCAACCGAGCAGCCCATCTGTCAAAAAGGCTGAAGAAAAGGGTGTTACTGTGGTTCATGAAGTCAAATGCAAACTTTATGTCAAGGTATTCATCCTCAGAGTCCTCTTAGGTGTCATAGTGCTTGTGAAGTAGTTTCTTTCTCTACTTTAGTTACCTTGACATTCTGTTCTTACTGATGACGTTGTAAGCTTTGTATCTGTGATATTGTACAGTCAAATGACCCAACGGATATAGGGTGGAAAGATAAAGGAACTGGGAATCTCTACATAAAATGCAAAGAAGGCGTCGACAAGGGGACAAAAGAATCAAAACCCACAATTCTTGTCCGAAACGATGTATGATTCAGTATACACACACTTCACATTCAACTTGGTCTACAGATTTCCAACATTATAAACATCTTTTCTTGCCAGGTTGGAAAACTGCTTCTGAATGCATTACTGTACACGGGAATCAAGACGAGCCCACAGAAGAACGCCCTTGTTGCAATATTCCACTCCTCGGTAAATAAAAGCTGCTAAAGCTTCTTCTTTAGCGTTTTCATGGTGGTTACTTTCTCTGATTTTGTCTACCTGCAACAGGAGGATTCCAACGAGAATGTAACACCGAGAACCTTTCTTATAAGAACAAAGACGGCAGATGCTAGAGATAAGTTAGCAACGGCCATCCAAGAATATGCCCCTTCTTCATAGATTGCCCAAAACCAGGTTGAGATCTTCTTTGTAATATTAGGAAGGCTCTTAAGATTAACGTAAAGCTTGATAAAGGGCACAAAAATGTTGTATGGTTGAGAGAGGGAGAGAGAGAGAGAGAGAGAGAGAGAGAGAGAGAGAGAGAGAGAGAGAGGGCCAAAGGTGGTACTTCTTAGCTTATAGAGAATGTTGTGCCAATCTTCTTTGTAACTTATAAAAACCAAACAATAAAATCACTTTATTTTATGACAATTTATCTGATTTAACTATGACTAATAGAAGTATGCAGAAAACTGAAAATTGGAATTAATAACTTATCAAAAGGCATACATATTCTATAAAATTTCATTCATCTCGAACGAAAATAACAGATGCTACATTATATTCTAAATTTATACAAAAGAAGGCGATACAATCAAAGGATCAGCTAAGCTGATCCATATATCTAACATTCTCCGTTTTCTTTTTGTGATCTATGAATGACGAAACGATCAACTATCTTTACCGTATTAACAGGGTCTTGTTGGGCTGTTGAGGAACACCATTTACTTGGAAACTCTCTCTCATAGCTCATCTTGAAACTCTGTTTAGGCTCTGAATCCCAATCTTTGTCCAGTTTCCAGTCTTTTGGCACCTAAGCTCATAATATACACAACTTAGGTTAACGTTATGCGTTTAGCAACTAAGAAATCAATAAATAAGAACTAATGACAGCAAGCAGCAGTATCAGGTAGCCAACTGTCGCAAGTAGAGTTTTTTCTTACCTTATCAACTGCAAGCGTGAAAACTTCGATGTCTCCATCTTCTAGGATGTGGAAACGGGTGAAAGATTTGTAATTGGCAATGCGGAGTGAAGAGAAAGCTTCATCAAAATGTAGGTGGAACCAGTTGATGCAGATATACAAGTAGCTTCCAAATACCATAGACACGACAGGAGTTGAGAAGACCCAAAAGTAAAGGAAGACAGAAGCATAATAGATAACAGCTCCGCTTCGGGAAAGTGATTCCATTCCATGTTTGCAAATATTGGTCCGGGTAACCGCCATCACCTGATGTTAAAGTACTCAGGTTGATGTTTCAAATCTGATCTTTGGTTTATCAAAATAGAGACAAAACACAGTACATTACTTACCTCAGGAACATCAAATGCTGACATAAGATACTTGATGCACGCAGGATATAAGCCAAACGTCCATTGTTCGATACGGGCTCGAAGGCCAGTAGGGTCCGGGAAATGCTGATTCTCCACTGATTTGTACCACTCATATAATGTATGATACCCTGCTTAAACAAAAATGTAAAGAGTCACAAAATCAATCAAGGCTAAATCACAAAATTTTCACCCAGTCACTATTATCTGTTAGCGTCAATGACATCGTGATGAGTCAAGATGGTAGTTCAGTATGCAACAAAACAATGCACTTTGTAACGAAAACCCAACCAGCTGGATATGGAATGGAAACTGACCAGAATTTGCAAGGAGATTATGCTGAATACAGATTTCTATGCCCAGCTCCAACATCAACATGAGAATCAGAGCTGCCATCAGGTGAGCAGCAACATGAAGAACTCCAATTACAACCCTTTTCTTCGGAGATACTTTTGAGGGGACAAATGTGATTGCAGTTATCAGCAACATCAAGACACCAGTAAAAGACACATAAGATTGTTCCATCACATACGCAAAGGCGCTCCAAACTGTGCCTAAGAAACTCTCCAGGTGACCAGAAAACGAATCACCTCGTAAGACGTGAGCTAGCTTACACTGAAACCAACGAGGAACTAGAAGGAATGAGATTGCAGTGTTCTTGTGAGCCTATACGATTGTTCTCAAGGAAAAAACAAATCTATGTATATGCAAACTAAAAAAAAGAACTGCTATAGCATATAAAACACCTATCTCAGCTACCCAATCTATTACTGGATGCAATGTTTAATAGGATGAGTTTAATACGCACCTGAGGGAACAATGAAAAGACCAAGATAAAGTATATAATGCCACCAATGAAATCAAATTGCCAGTTCTTTTTCCGGAATTTCAAAATATTTCCCAAAGCAATCTGCAAATGGAAGAAAACACCATTTAATATCCGAATACTATTAGAAGTTGAAAACAAGGCAAGTTCGTGATAGGAAACTTACTTTGCTTGAATCATCAAAAGAGGGGTAGGCAACCTTGCTTCCATAGGAGGCCCCATAGAACTTTGAAAAGTTGCTGAACACATGAGTGGGATGCAGAAAAGCTCCTCCACAGCCATTAACAAGAAGATGTTGGACATGTGCAGGTCCATCTGATTGATTACATGAATGTCGCATATAATGATGCAAATCCCCTGCCATTCTAAGTTTGCACCTGTATTTCAAAACGTCGCATATCAGATGTCTCACGTTCTTCCCTGTATCGCCGCTCCAGTACCAATCAAGAAGCCAGTTTGGTTCATGCGTGATAATGATCACAGCATCATTCTCACCAACCTGAATGAGAAATATTAATTTTATCAAAGCAAAAAAAAAAATGAAAATTGAGTAATATGAGAAGACGAAGCCACTAAGATATAGCCTAATCCACTTGTTAATGGCACTTCAGAAACAAAAGACATCACAAATCTATACCAGAGTAATACAGTATATAGTAAGTACTAAGTAGCTAGCCAAATAATGGTAGAACTATAACTAGATGCCGGAAACTATTTAAATTGCATCTATAAATCTATATAAAGCATGAGAAAGAAAAATGTTACACAAACTACCTTGTCCTTCACCAATTCGGAAAAGAATTTGAACTGGTCGACATCAATATCACCATGAAGTGCAAGATCCAAACCAAACACCCACCATCCCTTGGGGAGTTGCAGGGCAAAATAGCTTTTCTTCTGGGGCATTAGCCAGCCGCCTAACCAATTCTTATGGCATATATACCTCATGAAAGTATTGAGTCCGTCAAACCAGTCTACGAAATAATAAACAATAATTATAATAGTTAGAGGAGGTGAAAGAAGCAACTGAGTATGCATGCAGGTATGTGAAACAAATTATTTGAAAGAGAAATGAAGCTGAGACCTGAAACTTACCATGGTTTCCAGGGATGAGAAAACATTGAGGACCTTCATAACTCTTCAGATCAGACACTCCATTGGGTAATTCAGGCTTGTCAACAGCAATAGAGTCATTTTTATACCAACGGGGAGGCTGCAGCGCATACTCAAAAGGACAAAACAGACGTTTTTCATATGTAAAAGCTGACGGATTTGGGTATCTGGAGAAAGACATCTATGGTTAGATTTGACAAAAGCTTGGGAATATGTAAATATTTACGTATAATAAGTAAAGCACTTACGCAAGATCTCCTCCAATAAGCAGTACATTGCCTCGTGGAAGAGATATAAAATTATCAGCTACTGGCACTCTCAGAGAAGGCTGAGCAAGAAGTTTTGCAACACTATATGATGAGTTCCCACCATCACCAGTATCCGCCATGAAATCAAACCAAAAATCTTGCTTATCAGCAAGGTGATCATATAAAAGTTCCTTCCTTCCAGTAGCATCACCAGATTTGGTCATTGCAGCCTAAAGATTTGGTACAAAGGAAAGCAGCAAAAAAAATTAAATGCAATTACTGTAAATGTCTATCTGCAGAAAGAGGAATGGACCTGATCATATCATAAATTAAAAAGGTATACCTGCAGCATCCGCATGTCAAAACGGCCAACAAATACTGTCACTGACACGAGGAGGTCAAACACAGTTTTAAACAAATCAGCCGATGTTCTGAAATATATAATTAGATAGGTCAGCACCTAGTCAAGTGTTTTGCCTTCATTGTTTACTCGCCACATTGAGACAATGGTAAGCAGAAAGGGAAAATTTTAGTTTAGCATTGACATACCCTGAATACCAAGGAACCATATCTAAGAAATCAGGTTTCAATTGCTGATTCTTCAGCTTCTCGTATTTGTCAACTGACAGAGGATGTGTCAGAGCCCACCTAAACAGATTAAACATGCCATTTGAATGTAAGACCAAAGTTATTCATATGAATGTACTGTTGATCCTCAATTGCAATATTAATTTGACAGGTATTATGCCACAGATAACTTACCCAGTTGATCTCTCCACTACATAATTGGCAATGTAAAGACCGATAAATGTGGCCCACAATGAGTATATAGGAGAAATTTCGTCAGCTGAATCAGGACATGATCCATTGCATGCGATCTGCAAATAACAAGGTAGGAATAGGACAAAATTAAAGGGTGAACAAACAAAAAATATTAACAACTCATTAGAACAGTTTAAAGAAGAGATACCTCCCCGTAAATGAACCATTTGGATAACAGTGGATAATCACTTGCAGATCCAACTGGAGCAAACCACGACGAACACACTTGGTCTTTCAGCTCATTCATACGAATGAATTTTGCAAGCCAGGTATTGTGCCTATGTTCTCTTTTCCAAAACGAAAACCAGCTAGAATACTGTCTTCCAAGTGGTTTTTGCCTCAAAATAGCTCGATTACCACAATGGCTGTAAAATATACAGCAAGCCATGCTAAGAACCTGCATCGATGAAAGACATGAAGACAATAATTTTCATAAGAAAGAAAATTTTTAAGCACATAAGTGGCTTTAATGTGCAGGACTGGCAATGGTGAACTCACAGCGCAATTTTGAAGAATGGTTAAGATCTCTGGGCGTCTTCCAGCCACGCGAGAAACAAGACCAACATACCAAAGGCCAAGAAAAATGATGTGGAAGACAACAAGGAAGAGTATGGAAGAGATGTAAATTGTTAGAAACAAGGACAAATTCATCCTCAAATCCAAACCCATTGACTGAAAATTAGGAAGATGATACAAAGCTGCAACTAAAATCCAGGCAATGTACCTACACCAAAACAAAGAATTAGGAAATTTTATAGAGTGAAAATTGATATTAGATATTTTCAGAAGATGGAATTAACAGCTGCTTACCACCGACTGAAGTTTGAATAATTTGGTCTGATAGTCTTCTGGATAAATGGAGAAGAAAAGAAGTAGAAAAATCCGAGCAAGCATGCATACATGGACCACCACTTGACTGAAAACTTTTCTATGAGGGTTTGCATGTTATCCGATGAAATAAAGAATAGGCAACCAAACAATACAGCAATGATAGCATGACGTGAATGCTCATGCGGATAAGGGTAGGTATGGGTTAGAATCGTTCTGACCCTCTCCATTGGGAGAGAATTATATAAACGAGCAGAATGCCCGT